CGCACCGCAACGGGGGGCGCGCTCTCCCCCCAAAACCGCACCTTGGCCAAGGACCGCTCGGGCGCCTGGAACGATTCCACCTGAGCGGAGGCAGCGACGCATCAATCACGGAAGAGCGCGGGGCCGAGTTGCTCGCCAACAAGCGCTGCAATTATTTGCGTATCGGTTTGCACGTGGGTCGCGAGCGTTTGCTGGCCTTGCGCGCAGGAGGCAAACGCTGGCGCAACTCCGCGCTGCCTTTGCTGCCTAGGATTGCGCCCTAGATGCGCAAACGGAAAGGGGACCCGCTGGGACGCGCGGGCTGCTCGACATGAGGGGCAGAAAGCGGAATGCAGGCAGGAGGAGGGAGGAAGGGAGCATTTAGGGAGTGCGGCGCGGAAGAAAAGCGTTTGGGCGGCCTAGGAGTTAAACGGTACTGCGTTGTTCCAGAGTTTGTAAGTTATAACGGAGCGGCATCTCATCTGGGTTGTAAAACGGGGAAATCGAAGGCAATTAGAGGAAAGTTTGCAGCCGGTGTGCAAAGCTGGTGCCCTGGCGCCCCCTTGTGTTTCCAGGCAACGTCGGGCCAAAAGCAATAGATGGTGTTTTTGGGATCGGTAACAGTTACAGCTGCTGCAACAATTGCTTGGTTCCTTCGAGTTCGCGTGTGGTGCTCGGTCTGAGCTTTCTCCCAGTTCAGAGGCAGACCAGATTACAAAACCAGGAGCGGCAGAGAAGCTGGGGGGGGCGGGGGGGGGGGGGGACTGTGGGCACACAGGGGCCCAGGGGCCCCACGTGGGAAACCCCAGAGTCACAGCTTTCCTGAGGATGCCTATTTAGACAGAGAAAGCCCAGCAATCCTCTGCGTGTTTTTAGACTTAGCAACTCCCAACATTCATGGCTGGCTGGAGAGGGTCCCAAATACAATGACTGAAAGCTGTGGAAGGGAAGAAAGATTTGTGTGGTGGGTGAAGTACAGTCTGTCCCTTAGAAGACGGGGAGGGAAAATTGTAAGCCAAAACATCTGGAGCACCCACAATTCCCATCAGCCCTCGCCATTGGCTGCAGCTGATAGAAGTTGCAAAAAAAAAAAAAAAAAACCACACACACACCTGGAAAACCGACAAGTTGTAACTTGGCGCCCTGCAGATGCGTTGAACTACAGCTCCCATCAGCCCCAACCAGCTGATGGTAGAGACGGATAGACGTTGTAGTCCAACACATCGAGAGATTGCCGAGTTGAGGGCAGGTGGTTCACGTTGTCGCCAATCTTCACGAAGAACCCCGCATCGATTTCTCGGTCTATCCACCTCTGACGCCTGCTTTTGCCCTTACCCAACATGTCCGAACCGGGGCCACTCGGCATCAGGCTCGGTTGTCGCCAGTCCAAAGAACTCCCCCATATCCCTTCAACAAGATGGCTATCCTCGGCTCGGCTGCGCCTACTGAGGCTGCGTAAGGCATGTAGGCCTCTTCCAAGATGGCCTACATGCCTTCGGCAAAGCATGCCCTCACCCGGGAAAGCTTCCTGCTCACGCTCCCGGCTTTCCGGAAAGTGTGCCCTCTTCCAAGATGGCCTACATGCCTTCGGCGGAGCATGCCCTCACCCGGGAAAGCTTCCTGCTCACGCTCCCGGCTTTCCGGAAAGTCTGCCCTCTTCCAAGATGGCCTACATGCCTTCGGCGGAGCATGCCCTCGCCCGGGAAAGCCGCCTCCTCACGCTCCCGACTTTCCGGAAAGTGTGCCCTCTTCCAAGACGGCCTACATGCCTTCGGCGGAGCATGCCCTCACCCGGGAAAGCTTCCTGCTCACGCTACCGGCTTTCCGGAGAGTGTGCCCTCTTCCAAGATGGCCTACATGCCTTCGGTGGAGCATGCCCTCGCCCGGGAAAGCTTCCTGCTCACGCTCCCGGCTTTCCGAAGAGTGTGCCCTCTTCCAAGATGGCCTACATGCCTTCGGCGGAGCATGCCCTCACCCGGAAAAGCCTCCTTCTCACGCTACCGGCTTTCCGGAGAGTGTGCCCTCTTTCAAGATGGCCGCACCCCCTCAACGTGGGGTGACGTGCCCTCGCCGAAGATGGCCTCCCTCCCGTAACCCGCCCGTCTGGCTGCGGCGTGCCCTCGTCCAAGATGGCCACTCTTCCGCATTCTGGAGGGGCCGACGCCAGGGCGGCCATGCCTTTGGAGGGCAAGAGGCCGGCCGGTAACCGATATATATATATATATATATATATATATATAAAGATAGCTATCCCGCGCCCCCTCCCCCGCCTCATCTCTGACTCCCGGCATGCCCCGCGGGCCCTCGCCTCACCTCGGCCGTTCGCCGCCCGGAAGAAGGAGCCTCGGCGGCGGCGGCGGTTGTTGACAACATGGCGGCTGCCGCCGCCTCCTCCGTCTTCGTGTGGGGAGCGCGAGGCGGCGGGGCGAGCCCGCGGGAGGCGCTGCTGCCGCCTCGGGAGCCCTGAGGGACGCGGGGCGGGCCGCCACCGCGCCCCGGGCCGCGCCGCCATGTCCTTCTTCAAGCGGAAAGGTACCTGGGGGTCTTCGCGGGGGGCCGCCCGGGGGTCTTCGCGGGGGGAAGCGCCTTCCCGCCCGGGCTGGCGGCGGGGGCGGCGAGCGGGTGGAGGGCCGCGTGCCGGAGGAGCTGGTCCGCCTCCCGGAGCTGCAGGGGGCTGCTGCGGGGGGGGGGGGGAACGGCGACCCCGCCCCTTGGACCCCCTTGGACCCCCGGCCCAAGGAGACGCCCCCTCCTCTGACGCACGACCCCCTCCCCGCACGGTGCCCCCAGGGATTCGGGTCGCAGCCTCGACCCCCCCATCTCTCCCTGGTTCCCAAGCTCCGGTGGGGCCCCCCACTCAGCGGCAGAGGCGCCCCCCGCCCGCTTTGCCCCCTCCCCCGGATTGAAGCAGGCGGGCCCCTGCCCCGTGTGTCGCGCACCCTCCCTTATGGCACTCTACGACCTTTGCCCCCCTTTTGCCCATCAGGAGCCCCCCCCAGCTCAGGAAGGCAGCCCCCTCCCCGCAACAGCCTCCCCCTGTACTTGAACCCCCTTTACTGTGCGCTCCCCTTGAGCCCCCTTCCCTATCCGCCCGCTCCTTGTGTCTCATGGCTCTTTTGCTTGGGGCAGCTTGATAAAAGTGTGTGTATGGGGGGGGGGTCTGTGTCTGAACTGGGGGCACAGTGAAGAAGAGGGGAGCTGCGAGGAAGGGTTTGCCCGTCTGATTTTGGGGAGCGTTGACAGCTGGCACAGGAGCCCCTTTTTTTTTCACTCAGAAGTGACCAAACTTGAGACGGCCGGGGGCCCTTGCACTCTCAAGAACAAAGGGTCGTATGATGGGGGTGTGAGCTGTGGGGGGGGCCTGTCTTCCCGAGTTTGGGGGTGGCGGGCTTGGGTGGGTGAGTGGAGAGGGCCTGCGTTTTGTGGGGAGTGCGATAAAGGGGCTGAGTGAAGTGCGTTGTGGGAAGAAAGCTGTCTTTCCGGGGGGGGGGGGCTTCTGAGGGGGGTCTGTGTTCTTGGGGGGGGGGTGTATATAAGGGGAGGGGTCTACCTTCCTTCTGCTTCAGGTAGTCTGAGCAGAGTGTGTGGGGGGAGGTTTTGCAACCGACAGCAGGTGGGGAAGAGGAAGCCCATGTCCCGGCTGGGGGTGGGGGGTGAACATCAACTTGGGGCTGGAGGATCAAGAGCCGTGTGCGAAGGGGGCGCCGTGTGGTGGGGAGCTGGGGCGGGAGGGGAGTGAGGAGGGGCTCCGATTCCTGGAAGGTGGCTGTGGTGGACTGCAGGAAATCAGGTGAGCGGCAGAGAATGAACACCTTGCGGAAGTTACAGGAGGAGGAACGGGAGGTGGGAGCCCCAGGGAAGGATGGCCGAGAGGTTTGTGGACGGGGTGGCTGAAAGGGGGGGTAGGGTTTTCCAAGGGGCAGCGGGGTGTGCCCAAGATCTTGGCATTGGGTCGAGGAATGTACCCGGCATCCACAGACCGGGCTGTTATACCCAGCGGAGAAAGAAGCCAAGCAGGGCCGGGGCGCGGCCGGTGTGTGAAAAGGCAGCCCAGCAAGCGGGCTAGGTGTGCGCGGAAGGAGCGTGGCTCTTCCTCTCCGGCCTCTGTGGCGAAGCCTCTTCCTCGCCTCCGAGCACACCCAGCCTCCCCGAGTGGGAGGAAGGGCGCACGTGAACGTCCTTGAAGAACTTGGTTTTTCTCTTGGCCGCCGCTTTTGCTGCGGCTTCCGTGCACTCCGGGAAAGCGGAGGGGGGCGCTCCTGCTGGAGTCGCCGTCAGCAGCTCTCCAGCTCCAGCCGTGGTCCAGATGCTACCGGGCCGGGATCAGCAAAATCTGGATGAATTATCTGCAGTGAAGCAAGACGGCAACAGCCATTACCAGCAAGGAAACACCTTGCAATGGCTTTTTCATTAGGCAAAAAGGTCTCAGCTTTCCCAGCCTGCAAGCTCCAAACCTGAGCCAGTGTCTCTGGTGGAGCTGCTCTCCTATTAGAAACCCTTAGCTCTTTCTCTCTCTCTCTCTCTCTCTCTCTCTCGGTTTGGAAACATTCCTCGTTTTAATAATTTAGGATGTGTGACTTGAACTAGTGCAGGAATTTCAAAGGCTCAACCCAGGCCTGGCACGAACAGGTTCCTAAACTGGGGATTTGCCAGAACTTCTGCGCCCAAAGTAATATAAGCGAGTCAGATATTTTTAAAGCTTTTACTAGTGTTGTGGGGAAGGTTTCCGTGTCATGTGAAGCCTCCTGTGTCATGAGAGACCCGTTCTGGGAGCCTCGCTGGTGAGACTAGAGCAGGTACCCTGAAAGGTCGGAGCCTTTGCAGGTGCCGCCTTGCCTGCCTTCTCTGAGTAGGTTGCCCCAAGGGTGAAGGGGTGAGGTGGGGTGTGGAGTAGGAGGCACTCTGGAGCCTTTCGGGAAGAGACAGACTACAGATGAGATAAATACATCCTCATCCAATCATTTAAAGTTGGTCCTGGATCGTGGCTTGCAGCCGGCAGGGACACCTATGTACGGTTGACCTCAAAAAACCTGATTTCAGGAATGCCCTCGAAGCGCTCGCGTTCTGCTATTTTGCCAAAAACAGGGGAAAGGCAGCAATAGATAAAGGAAATAAGAAAACATGCCTGTTGGCGTGTTTTGAATTAAACCCACAAATTGTGGGTTGCGTAATGCACCCTTCGTGTGTGCGGGAGACTTTTGATGGGGTTACTTTCATGCTGTCAAGCAGATACTTTTAAGGCATGGTGAACATCTGCATCTGATAGGGGCAGCTCAGCTGTTCAGCTAATGCACTGCGGTTGATTTACGAAGGGGCTTTGCCTGTCGGGAGAATCCTGAGCCGGAACTGCTACCAGGCTTGGTAGCTGCCGGTCAGTTAATCAAGGTCCAGGATGGCAGGGGATGAATTTCTGGAGGCTTCGTAGGCTCAGGTCTTTTCCAGAAGCAACACAAACCAAAGGGGAAAGTTTGCTGCCTGGACACTCTTTGTATCTTGTGCAGTCTGTGCAACAAACATCAGCATAACAATGTTTTCTTTCTTCAAACAGTGTTTATTGCCCAGACAAAAGAAAGTGTTGCTGTGATACTCTGTAACAAAAGAGATTTGAGACTGATGCAATTGTAAGATCCGGCTGACAGCACCTTGAATTTTCCATTTATTTATCTAGCATGTGGCTTGTCATACATGGACGTGTGTGTGTGTGTGTGTGTGTGTGTGTGTGTGTGTGTGAGAGAGAGAGAGAGAGAGAGAGAGAGAGAGAGAGAGAGAGAGAGGCATTTGAACAAGATTAAAAACACATTTAAAATACAAATGTTACAAAGATCTCTATTCAGACCTCAGTGTCTGAGCCATCTTTCCCACAAATTTCCCCAAAGCAGTCAGTACAGAAAACTTAAGATAAGGCATCTCGTGGTGCCACTACAAAGCAAATTTGCTTTGTGGGCAGCTGGCAAGCATGGGCTCCACTGCCCTCCTCCATCCTTGGCGCTCTCGTGGGCCTAGTCAGGCGCCGGAATGCAGGTTCACCTTCCTGCCTCCATGTGCTCCTGAGCGGCCCATTAAAAACAATGGCGTGATCCATCCTGCCCAGTCATACGGGGCGGGGGGGGGGGTGCCGTGCTTGGATGCTTCCCTTGCCAAAAACTCCCCGAACATGTATTTCTGGGGGTTGCTTCACCAGAATCCTCCTTCCTCCAACTTTCTACGTGCAAGTATAATCTGTTGTCGAGTATGTGGGTGTGAGATTTTGGGATGCATTAACAGAAGTATTGCTTTCAGATCATGAGAAGTAGTAGTTCCCCTCTGCTGCTCACTAGGCAGACCTCAGCTGGAGTCCTGTGTCCAGTTCTGGGCACCAAGATTTAAGAAAGATGCAGGGAAATTAGAAAGGGTCCAGTGGAAGGCAACAAAAATGACCCAGGGTTTGGAAACTGCCCTATGAGGAGAGACTGGGAGAAATGGGCATGTTTAGCCTTGAGAAGAGAAGACTGAGGGGGGACATGATATCCCTCTATAAGGCTCTCACAAAGAGGAAGGTCAAGATCTCTTCTCGCTGATGCCAGACACGGAATAATCAGCTCTAGTTGCGACAGCCCAGATTCAGGCTGGGCGTCAGGAGAAGCTTCCTCACGGTCAGAGCAATACGGCCGTGGGACCAGCTGCCTGGAGAGGTGGGGGGCTCGCCCACCCTGGAGACACTCAAAAAGGAACTGGGCAGCCTCTGAGTGGGATGGTGTGACGTGGCGTCCTGCAACCGCAGGGGGGTGGACTTAATGGCCTTCATGGCCCCATCCAGCTCTGCTATTCTATGAGATTCTCTACCTGTGGTCTGCAGCTGGACAATCCCCCAAACCCTTTACCATGCGATGATTCTGAAAAATGCACTTTGGCTCCCCTGCTGGCAATCACAGCCGCCTCTGGGACATCCTCTGCGATAAGCACTCTAGAGGATGCCATAAAGGAGGTAAATGACTCCTAAGGCTTTTCTTAAAGGCAGAAAAGAAAGAAGGGATTGCTTTCAAGTCAGGGACTTTCCTTTACTGTAGTTGGAGATACGGAGAACAATACAGGGCGGTGTTTGGCAAGCTGATAGTGAGCGAGCCCTGCCCCTTTCAGGGCAAAGGCGCAGGAAGTGTTCGGCTTAGATTGCCTGTGAGTTCATATTGAGAGAGGCTGAAGAAGGTTCAGTTTGGGAAGGCAGCAGCTGAGAACTGGGTAGCCTTTCCCCATCTGGCGCCTTCCAGATGCCCGGGGCTTCCGTTCCCATCAGCCCCAGCCAGCATGGCCTATGGTGAAGGATCCTGTGGGTTTAGTCAACCACAACCTCTGGAAAGCACAGAGCTGGGGAAGGCTAGAATGTGGCGTGGCTTTTGAGGGTGTCTCCTAAAGGCCCGTTGCCAGGCAAAGATTGAATGGGGAGTCTCTGGGGAGAGAGGTCTGAAGAAGCTTTTTGAAGTGTTGGGCTTAAGGTATAAACTGGCAGCCCATGCTTAAGTTTTCAGACATCGATGGAGCTGGTGGCCTTTTCTGCATTACTAAAGAAACGGGCTGTGGTGGCTGGGAAAGCGATAGGAGGCTGTGGAAAGCCTAGCCTCTTTGCTTTAACTTCCGAGGTGTTAGTGGGCCAGCTGAAGTTGGTGAGCAATGCACGACCCTCCAAGTGCCACAGAGCGCTCGGTGCAGCTTGGCCCTCATCGGTGTGAATCTAGCACAAATGCCACTTTTTAATCGGTCTATATTGCTTACGATATTTATAAGCGGCCTGCCGTTCTGAAAGTGCCTGTCACCTCAGTACTGAAGACACCCGGTCAGATTCAGACAAGCCGCTCCAAGTCTCTCCAGAGTAAGGAACGCTTACCTCTCCTCTGCAGCCCTGGTGACTTTAGTGGCACATCCAAGATAATCGATTCACCCCGTCCTGTTCTTTGAGACCGACTTGGCAATCCAGAATTTCAGATAAGTTCACACTGTCTGCTGGCCCACAAAGAGGTTTGTAGCCCCCTTCCACTCATGTCCCTGTGGCAGATAGTTGACCTGAAAGACAGCACACACTTCTCTGGTCTGGTTGCCTGGAAGTGATTTCGAATCGCCATAGGTAACCAGGCTAGTGGACGTGGGCCAGTTTCGTTGGACATGAATGTTGCATGCGGTTTCAGGCTCTTCTGTGTGATTTCTAACTCAAGGCAGTTGGGTGGGCTCCCTATCTACAGATACCTGGTGGAGTTTATTCAGATCTCTTCCTGAATCTCTCCTCGGAGGTCTGTCTGTGTGACAACATCTTTACTGTGCTGGAACATGACTGGCTTTTGCTTTAAAAGTGGTGCTCTGTTATTAGTGCGTGAGGCTGACAGTAATTCAGAAATATTTGGGCGTGACTAGCAACGCAGGCCACCCTGGGTGATGACATTCACTGAGTTCCTGTTACGGGAAACAAATTGCCAGTTAAGTAGCCTCGTGGCATGACACGGACAAGTCTGGGCGAGTGAGATCAGAGCAGGAGAGCCTCGGTTCCAACCCCCATCCGGCCATGCATGGCGCCAGGCTGTGCCTCCTGTCTCACTGCCCTCACAAGGGCGGTTGCGAGGATGGACGCTGGGGTGGGGAGAACATGCAAAGGACCCCAAGCACCTTGGAGGAGGATGTAAAGGATGCGAGGAATACCAAGTCATTTGAGATCAACCAGCTGGGAAGAACCTGGTCTGTGTTGTTGTTGCGCACGCAAAGGCCTCAGGCACTCACCGGCAGCTCCAGCTGAAAAGGAAACTCACAGGCAAAGCAGGGCTGCAGTGTCTGAATAATTGTCAGATTAGCGGAAACTAATTCGCCCCCTCCCCTGCAGTGCTTCCAGCATTATTTTTGATGCGAGAAGTCCCAGTGCACTGCAGCAGCCAAGGGGTGTCCCCTGAGAGGCATCCCGTGGGAGGAAAGGGTCTGGGAAGTGCCTCTGCCAAGATGGCGGGAGCTTCCTGGTCCCTTAGAACAGCAGCTGCCTCTGCCACCTGAAGGACTTTGGTTCTGGTGTGGGCCTGCCGGCTAGGCATGGCAGGAGTTGCTGCCCAGCACACCTCGAAGGCACCGAGTTGTGGTCTGGTGCCAAGTTGTGGCGTTAAACCCTTCTTCCCGTATCTGCATTTATGCAGATTTAATCTGTTAGTGAAGGCCTGGATGATTACTCAGCAAGGGAGATTTATTTAATGCGATGGCAGCCCTGGGGTGAAAACATCTCGGGTTACCAATTGCACTGGGCCCTGATGTGCTCCTCCAGTGATTTCTTTTTGAATCTGGCAAAAAGGATACCTTGGGAGGATACCTGTTTGGATGAAGGAGGAGGGGGGATGGAGAATAAGCCCCCCCCACTGCTTTTCAGCTCAAAACGGTGCTGCCAAAACAGCTGCTTTCTTGCTGGAGTGGCAGGAAGCGTGAGAAAGAAAGAAACCTGGCACATGCCGCCTACGAATGCTGGAAAAAGCGCAGCATCTCGGTGGTGCAGGTCGGCAATCGTGGGCCCGCTTCCCGTCTGCTAAAAACGTGCTTCTTTAGAGCAGAGGGAGAAGTCGTCTTAGTAAGAGCCTGGCCACCCGCTACCTTCGCCATGCCCCGTCCAGAAGGAAGGGAAAGTGAAAGCTTTGGCTGGCTGTTGATCTAGTTTTCTGAACGGAAACTGCTCACTGCTAGCAGCATCCTCAAAGCGCCGACTCAACAGATTCCAGGGCCTGCCGCAGCGTGCGTGACGAAGCTGCGGGTGACTCTGCTGAGGCCGTGCCAGGACATTTCCCCCCCCCCATTCTTAAAAGCACCGTATCTGGGGGCCGAGGCTCCTGAAATAGGTCATCAGGAGGGTCAGCGGGCCGCTGGAGGGTCAGCAGGCCGTCCAGACAGCGCGTTCCTCCGTGACCTCCAGCTTCTGCTAGCGCAGGGCGAACGTGTTCGCCTGGGTGAAGGGATGGGCAACCGAAGTGAACTCACTGGCTGCATCAGTGCCTCGTGAAAAAATGCTCTGTGTGCTCGGGAGCTGGCCGCCTGTCTCCCGTCCAGCTTGCTTCTTTCAGCAAGGCCACGCCGTTTGTGTGAGCGGTGAAGGAAGAGCCAAATGGCCATTTAGGCACGACCTGCGGAGATGTTGGTGTCCCCACCAGCCGCACTGTGATGCGGAAACGTTGCGCAGCACCAAGAGACCCGCCTGATGGCTGTGGGCAGTGGCCCCCGTTCTTCTGGGCCGAAATGGCACGGAGGCGCTTCAGAAAAGAACGCTTCACAGCCTGAGCCGCCTTGGACGACAGAGTAAAAATTAGCCAAATGGCCGTGATGAACTTTGACTGGGAACGCAGCCGTGTTCAATGATTGTCCGAGGAGCTCTCGCTGTCTGTTTGCCTGTGTGTGCGTGTTAGCGTGATTCCTCCTTCCCAAAGCTGCTCCTGGGATGCCTTGCCCTCATATCCTTTCTGGGTTGAGGCCCAGGTTAGACGCATTAAAAATTAAGTTACTCCGTTCCAGAAGACAAGTTAGGCTGCAGCCAGTATTAGCCTTCCCATCATGACCCAAATCTGTCCTTTGCCACAAAGTGCTCCTCTCTCCCACTGTCTTGGTACTGACAGAAATCCACCTAATGGCGGGGTTTTGTTTTTTGCAGTGAAAGGCAAAGAGCATGAAAAGGCAACAGAATCCAAGACAATTAAAGGTTAGTGCCTAGTTCTCAAGTCTGAGGTGGGTTGCACAAGATGGTCTTAATCTGGCCAGTTCCACAGACTTTCAGGCTCCTCCTGTCTGTCATTAAGGGCACATGGTACATTATCTTTTAAACGTGGTGGAGGGTACACAAAATCCAGCAAACCCCCCCAAAGAAAGAAGGTTGAGGGAAAGGGGTGGGAAAAGGAGGCTCCCCGCCAGGGCCAACCAGAGTGGAACCCCCAGGCCAGAGTTCCCCCACGCCTGGTTTAACCAGGTCAGGAAGACAAGGCAAGGGGGCGAAGGGCCCCGATCCCTTCCTCTGGTTAGTTTTTCCCCTCCGTTCCAGCTGCAGCGCCCGTACATTCCCCTGCGAGAAGCACCAGGAACCATGCCGTGCTGGACGCCGCTGCACCGAGCCACGTGGCCATCAGCGCCATCTCCGCCAACATGGACTCCTCAAGCAGCCGCACGGCGGTTCTGATGAAGCACCCGGGCCACACGGAGGCCGTGCACTTCGGAGACCTGGGTGAGCCTCCGCCTCCTGCCTTCTCCTGCCCGGGCGGGACCCTCTGTGCTCCTCGATCGCGAGCCGTTGGCCCGGCCTGAATGAGCCGGGGCTAAGGAAGCACACGGGGCCGAATTGCCAGGAACTGCTAGCCTCGCCTTGCCCTCTGACCTCTAGCAGAAAGAGCATGGTTGGGTTGTACGTCTTTGCACGTTCGACTGTGTCGGAAGAGTTCACGTGGGAATAAAATGTTTAAACTTCGGCATAGCATTGCTGCTTGAGTGGAGCAGGGGGTTAAAAATTTGACAAGTGCCCTGATGAAATGGACTTAAAAACGGACTCCTTTTCATACACGCACTTGTACAAATGTATGAAACTGGTTGGCAGCACCCATTTTAGGAGGGATGTTTTGCTTTCCGTTCGTGCTCCGGTAAGAAGGGAGCCTGCTGCAAGAATCAGGCATATCAAGGTCTTGTTCTGTTGTGTTTTCTTTGGACGAATAGGTTTTTATGATATTTGCCATGCAGGTAAAGGGGGAAGAAGCTTGACTCTACGCATTTTCCTTGATTGGGGGGCAGCTGTAATCAGTGGTCTAGTCATGAATTGGCTAAATATCAATTAATGTGTTGACAGTCCTGCTATTTCAGAATGCAAGCGATCCAGGGTTAGAAAAGCATCGTTGCTTTGAAGTGTAAGCTCCTTGGGGCAGGGCACTGCAAAGCACCCTGAGCACCCACTGGCGCTAAATAAGTGGTACTGATGGTGAACTAGCAAGTAACTTTCTCCCTTTTGTGCCTCCCCTTTAGGCCGATCTTGTCTGGACTACCGGGCTGAAGAGACCAAATCCACCCTTTCAAAGACACTTGAGCAAGTCCTCCTGGACGCGGTGGCCCTCCCGTATTTCATCCAGTTCATGGAGCTGCATCGCATGGAGCATCTGGTCAGGTTCTGGCTGGAGGCCGAGAGCTTCCATTCCACCACATGGTCCCGCATCAGAGCACACAGCCTGAACACGGTCAAGCACAGCTCCTTGGCCGAGCCCGTCTCCCCTTCGCTCAAACAGCACGGCACCTCCGTGTCTTCTCCCTCCTCGGAGTCCCTGGACAAGCGACCGGAGGATTCTGGCCCACCTTGGCCCTTGCAGGTCAAGCCGTCGGCGGCCGAACTCAATGTCCGGACACACAGCCTTCGCAACGATTTGCTCCTTTGCCAGGGGGGCGCGAAGGCCCGTCTTGGGCCTGGAGCAACCGAGGTCGAGGGCTGCAGTGCTTTCGAGGATCCTCACAACTCTTCCAAAAGCTCCGTATCCAATAGAAACAGCCCTTCCTTTTCGTTAAAGGACTTGTCAGGAAAACTCATGAAAAGTAAGTCCCATCTCCCTCCCTCCCTCCCTCCGGCTTCCCCCAGAGGTGCTCGGATTATTTCAGCCCAGTTTGCAAAACAGCAATTGGGTGGCTTCCAGCTGGGACCCCGGAGAACCAGTTGAAGTTGATGCATAAGCACCCTGAGCCCAGTGGGACCGGGTGTCCCCCGGAAGGGCTTAGCTCATCCTTTGGTGTTGACCCAGCCTGCAGTTTGGGCTGGATAAGGCTGCTGAATGTGTTGGGCATAATTAGAAGGCAGAAACCCTTCAGCTTGTACGAGCACAAGCACAGAGCTTTTGGCAAGGAGGGCCCAAAACTTGGTAGCAAAGTACGTGGTTTGCATGCAGAGAGCTCCAGGTTTAGTCCGTGGCATTGGAGCAGGACGGGCAAATGGCCCAGCCTACAGAAAAGGCAATGTTTTCTGTGTAAGGTCGTACCCGTCCTTTGGAGGAAGGCATGAAGAAAGCTTGAGTTCGTTGGGCCTTCGCTTCGCATCAGCCCTGTTTTTGCCCAGCCAGTGATGAGGGATCCTGGGGCTTGTAGGCTGAATCATCTGGAGGGCTGCAAGCCTCCCATCCCTGCCCCACAGCTCCTATCCCCTCTGTACCGGCTGGCCTGGCCAGAGCTGATAGGAGCCATGGGGCTGCCACAGACAAGGAGAAGGAAATGGTGGGTCCCCACTCATCATGGCTTCCCCCAAGCGTGGCTTGTCTGGCTCAGGATGCCCAACACGTGAAGCAGACTCTCCTTCCCGGTTTCCAGATTTGCTTCACGGGAGGAGAGCCAACACCTGTGTAGGTGTGTCGCTCTCCCTGCCATACAGTCCCTCACTGCTTGACTGCCCCAGCTCCCCTTCGTTTCCGTCTCCCTTTTCCTTCCAGCTATAGAACAGGACGCAGTGACCATTTTTACCAAATATATTTCTCCCGATGCTGCTAAGCCAATACCAGTTACAGAGCTGATGAGGAACGACATTGTTGGTAAGTTCCTTGGGAAGGCGGGTCCTGGGTTTTCCGGGGGCCCATTGCACCGAGGGCAGGACTGTTTGGCCGCAGCGGCAAAGTGCACGGATTCTCTGGCACGTGTCCCACTCCGAGGGGCCATCCGAAGCCCTCCGTACCGTGTGCCGCAGAGAAGGCCCTCCAAACTGGCCAGTCACCTTCCCAAGTGCAGGATTCTGGGCCCTGCGGGGCGCCACTAACGCATGACCTTGGTGACCTTGCAGCAAAGATCTGCGGGGAAGACGGACAGGTGGACCCCAATTGCTTCGTTACAGCACAATCGGTAGTGTTTAATGCCATGGAACAAGAGTAAGTCGGTTGGCTCTTTTGCCAATTTTTTTTTTTTAACAATGTGGGGATGGAGCCCTTCCTATTCTAAGTTTCAGGCTCAGCTCTTCCTGGGTGCAAGAGTTATGCGGAGGAGGGAAGCTGAAGCAAAATTCCCCCCTACTTGGACTAGAGGGAAGAGTACAAAACCGAGGGCCGCAGGCGAATTCTAGCCTCCCAAAGCGTCACCCTTCAGCCTTCTATGCTTGGGTCCCAGCTTTGGTGTGGCAATCCTCCTTGTAAAGGTTGAAATCCCTCTCCTGAGGCAGCATGGTTTTGTGGGAAGAGTGTTCAGGTCAAGCAAGCTGGTGCTGGGGGCCCTGCTCCTTCTGCTTTTGGCCCCGCAGACGTTCTCCGGAATGGCCCTTGGGCCCCAGGTGCAAAGAGGTTCTGCACTCGTGAACTAGAGAGCCATTTTTAACTGTCCAGGGAGCTTGGGGGGGGCGGGGGGGGGGGGACACGACACCAGCCATTTCCTGCCTTTCCTAGGATCCTCTCCAGTGGGGGGGCACGCGACGGCTGAACCTCAGCCCCTTGCCCCTTTGGCCCCACCGCCGGACGGTTTTGCTTGGACCGTCCTCTCTGGGCAGCATGAGGTTAGCAGAGGAACCTCCAGGGCCATTTTGCACTTGGCCGAGCTGGTGCTGGTCTCCGATCTGCTCCCGGCGGCCGCTAACGAGACCCGTCTGTCCCTCATGCAGGCACTTTAGTGAATTCCTGCGAAGTCACCACTTCTGTAAATACCAGATCGAGGTGCTGACCAGTGGGACTGTTTACTTGGCCGATATTCTCTTCTGCGAGTCTGCCCTCTTCTACTTCTCCGAGGTGAGGACATCACCCCCCCCCCCTTTTCGACGCGTTTCAGCTGTGCGAGGCAGAGCCGACCACCGTGCTCGATCTTCACGAGATGGGCCCCCTAACAGCCCTAGGAGAAGGCGACCCTTGCTCCCATCTCCAAGAAAGAGGGCTGAGACTGCGGTGGCCGAATTCTCCACCAGGGATCCTCAGGCCCCTTCCTCCCCCCTGCCCCAACAGGAAACAGCCCGCTGCGGGACTGGGGAGGAGGAATCCTGCCTCTCGGCAGCCAGTCTCACAGTTGCAACATCCTGGTCTCTTCTCCACCGCAGCACTCGAAAGATCTGTTCGGCTGTTTCCTGTCCGTGCAGCTGCGCTCTCCCCCTGCCGGCTATAAGAGCGAACTTAACAGAGGCAGAGTGTGAAGGGCAACCTTAAAATATATGCTTAAAAAGCACCGCTATTTTGAATAGGCAACTGAGAAGTAGCACCTTCGAGAGTCCTTGAGAACTGCCTGGTGTATTCCTGGCAAAGCGGAATCTTAGCAGAACAGGCTGCTCCTAAGCGTTCTCGGCCATATGTTCCCCTTCTCGTCCCGTGCGGGGCAGGCCTTCCGATGAAACCAGCAAGCAAGGTGCTAACGTTCTTCCCACCCCCAGCCTGCAGTGTGTCCATCGCCGTGGGTTGAACAACCCGCGGAGGACTCGCCGGTCGCCTAGCGAAGCGGGAATGGGCTGTTGGGCAAATCTCGCTTTCAGTGGCCCAGTGGTTGCGAGGAGGCCGAAAATCTTGTCCACCCCTTTGAAATAAGGCTGACAGTGACCCAGCTCCCAGGGAAGCTGGGAGCGTCTGCCTCTCTCTGGCTGCATGGAAAGACACTTCACGAATGGGTGGGGAAGGCTGCGCTCTCATGCCTTGCTTTCGCCCCTTAGTTCATGGAGAAAGAAGACGCCGTCAATATCCTGCAGTTCTGGCTGGCGGCAGACAACTTCCAGTCTCAGCTGGCCGCAAAAGAGGGGCAGTACGACGGCCAGGAGGCGCAGAACGACGCGATGATCTTATACGATAAGTGAGTGGCGCTCCCTCTCCCGACTTCTCTCACCCCGAGCAGCGCTTTCTCACAAGCAGGGCCCCCCATCTTGAATGTCCTGTTCAGAAGTTGACGCTGGGTGGGTCGAGTGGCAGCGCGATCCAAACTTGGCAAGCGGGGGTCCGCGGGATCTCCAAGTTAACCCTAAGTTAAAATATTAATAATTCCGGCCGCCTTGGTGGCTGGAGCAAAGCTTGGAAGCCTTCGGTATGCAAACTAGGTGGTGGTGGGGAGAGGGTGGGTGCAGAAAACTCTCCCATAACTAACCGCCTCGGTTTCCTCGAGAGCACAGGAGTGCTTTATTTAATGTATGTGTTTATTTATACGTTTTATACCCCCTCTTAGTGAAAAAAGGGAGAGCAGCCTCCCATGACATTACGGAGGATAACGGAGCATATGCTAACATTGCTTGCCTGCCATCCTGCAGTCTAACCACGAGGCTTGTCCCCCTCTCCCCATGCATAGCATTCTGGGAACGGTAGTTGTCCGAGGAAGCTGTGTCTTCTGAGACCTTCCGTCCCTTTCCCTAAGCAACGCTCCAGCATGCTGTGGGGTGGAACTGCTGTCACTCTGGAGAGAGGCCCGCACGATGCAAGGGGTGGCTGGCTTGGATCAGGGCTGGGTGCCCCCTCCCAGTTCAGGACCAGGACGGGAGTGGAGGCGGGGGGGAAGAAGCACGGGAATTGCAACTGGCTGCTGCTTCAGCCTCCTGAGAAAGTTGGCTCGAAGCTCTAGTCCTCATGACTGCAAAGGAGATACATGGACGCAAGGCCTGTGCGGATCTCCAAGGCCGGAGACCCTAGGGGTCAAGTCCCAGAATCCTGCCACGCCCCTTGCCTTCTTCCTATGAAGAAGGGCAGGCCATGGGCCACGTTTTACCCGGGGGGAGAGAAATCGAGCCAAGAGGGAGAAAGGGGCGTGTTGAGCTTGGATCGCTGTAAAACCCGTCGCCATTGTTTGTGGGGGTAACTTTCTCCTCCCTTGTTCTGCTGCTGCAGGTACTTCTCCCTGCAGGCCACTCACCCTCTTGGTTTCGACGACTCCGTGCGCCTGGAAATCGAATCCAACATCTGCAGGGAGGGGGGGCCGCTTCCCAGCTGCTTCACCACTCCGCTGAGACAAGCCTGGACCACGATGGAGAAGGTGCAGAGTGCCCCCCCTTTCCTTCCTCCTCCGCTTGGAGGGGTGGGGGAGCCTCTAGAATCCGCCGGCAGGTTCAGAAGAGCTGCGCAATCCCTCGGCTGGGCTTGCCCGTGGGTGCCAGCCGTGACACACGCGGGGCGTCCGTCCCCGCCTCCCTCTTGGACTCGCCTCTGAGCTGCGGTCCCCGTTCCAAGCCCCTTTTCGCTCCCCCTACCCCCTCTGCCTTGCAGGTTTTTTTGCCTGGCTTCCTGTCCAGCAACCTTTACTACAAATACTTGAATGACCTCATCCACTCAGTCCGGGGCGACCCATTTGCGAGCGGGAGCCTTCCCCAGAGCACCCACGGCCTCGGCAGCGCTTCCGAGGGTGACCCCCCCACAGGTTCCACGGACAGCTCCGCTCCCTCCCAGGTGCGTTCTCCTTTTTTAAAAAAATTTATACTCTGCCTTTTTCCTACAAAGGGCTCAAGGCAGCTTGCGTCATTCTCCTCCTCCATCTTATCCCCACAACACAGCCCTGTGAGGCAGGTTGGGCTCAGAGTCTGTGACTGGCCCAAAGTCACCCAGTGGGCTCCACGGCCGAGCGGGGACTCAAACCCGGATCGCCTGAGTCCCAGTCCCACGCTCTTAACCACTACACCACGCTGCCTCTCCTTGGCCCCTTCCTGATGGCCACTCGCGAGCCTTGCGTTTGCTTCGGCCCCTGGCCTTCCCCTGCGCCGAGTCCCTTCGCCCCTGCCTCGCCCCCCCCCCCCGCTCTTCTGCACATGGTACTTGCCGTCTGGGATACGCAGAGGTAGGGGTACTCGGACATTGGAGAAGCCGCCCCGGGTGCGTTTTGCAGTCGCTCTGTCCCATTCTGTCCCCACCTCGGTGGGACTGTATGAGTCCAAGCAGATAAAATGCATTCGTACGTATCTGCGGAAATTCGTACTCTGTAAAATGGGGAAATCCTCCCAGAACACGTGGTGGAAAACGCACCCTTTGGGACTGTGCTTTTTATTTTCTACGACCGAGCTTGTGTAAAATTACGAAGCTTAAAAACGGGGCCCGTGAGTCTGTGTGACTCAAGGAGAATCTGTGGACGGATTTCTGGAAACTCACAATCATTGGGCCTCGGTGCAGTTCTTAATTTTACAGCTTTTGCAGGATAGAATTTTGTCTCGTGGTTTTTGATTTTTTAACAAAAAAGAGATTCAGCTTTAGTATTTCAGCCTTCCCCGAGTTTTCCAAATGTGTTCTGGGATCCTGGAAAGTTGGGTTAAGATTCCCAGAATGCCCTCTTTGATCCACGGCCTTGAGGTTTTGGTTTTTGTTTTTTCTCCCTGCCAAGCTCAAACTCCCTCCTTCCTGCCATGTCTGCACACACAATTCATGATTCCTGGAACTTACATTGCAGTCCAGCCTCAAAAAGAGTAATGTAAAAATCCTGAAAAACTTTGATGAAGCAATAATCGTCGATGCAGCCAGCTTGGATCCGGAGACCTTGTACCAGCGCACGTATGCCGGGTAAGGATCCTGGGGGGTGGCGAGAGGGCTCGTTAGGAGAAGCGCGTGGGGAGCATCGTCCCAGGACGTGACTGGGGGGCGACTGATCTCTCCCTGCGAGGTTTTCCTGCCGGCTGCGTTTCTGCCTCGTATGGCTGAAGAACGGGCGGGCATTGCCGAAGGTGTTGTGTGGCCCACGGTAGCGTTTTGGGGCCTTCCGCCCTTGCCACCTTTCGTGGAACCTCTGAGACCGTCTGGGTGCTTTGGGTGACAGGGGAGGGGGTGGCTTGCATGGCTGTACCCCCCCCCCAACGCCCATCTGCTCCCTGGATGCAAAGGGCTTGGCTGGCCCTTGGCTGGTGGTTGGGCAGCCGTGTCCGTTGTGCTCTCCAGGGCCGGCTCGTGAGTGGGCGGTGCCTTGCCGGCTTCTCTGCACAACCTGCCAAAGGTTAATTGCTCCAGGAAGGCAGAAATGGCCCCGGGACTGAGGGAGAGGGGAGCGAGGGTTGGGTTGGGACTCAGGCACGTGTGAGCCCATCTGCCGCTCGGACAGTGGGTGTGTGGACTGGGGGTTGGTTGCCCTGTGTCCGGCTCTCCCTCCCCATCTGCCACAGCGAATGAGTCTCTCTCTCCATCTGTTGGCACTCGCTGCAGGAAGATGACATTTGGACGAGTGAGTGACCTGGGCCAGTTCATCAGAGAGTCAGAACCGGAGCCCGACGTCAAGAAGTCCAGAGGTAGCCAGCTCCCTCGCTGCGCTTGCGCTGCCACTCTCCGCCAGGTGGCCCTTGGAAGCCGCCGTGTTGGTAGAGGGCAGGTGCCTGGCATGGGGCTGCAGGTTCCACTGGATTTGCCACAGGTCGACCGCTTAAGGACGTGCCAGGAGACTCGTCACCAACCCGCGGCTGAAGTGCGGGGGAGAAGCGCTGGCAGCAGAGGCAGGAAGCCACTTGCTGGGGAACGTGGGTGGGAGGGTGCTGTTGCCTTCATGTTCTGTCGTGGGCTTCCCCACGGGTGGCCAGTGTGGGGTGGAACAGCTTTTGAACTAACGCCCGAAGGGCAGCTCCTAGGTGGCGGTAACGGCCAGGCGGGCGCCAGGAACAGCCCCGCCGCTGCAACGGCTTTCTGTCTCTGCTCCCAACAGGGTCCATGTTTTCACAAGCAATGAAGAAATGGGTGCAGGGCAACACGGATGAGGTAGGCCCGCTTTTCCAGCGTCGAGCCCGGAAGCCAAGTCGCTAGTCATGTCTGTTCCAAGCCAACACGGGGGGGTCTCAGCAGTGGGGGTTGGCTATTTTGTGCCGGAAAAATCAGGGCACTGCAGATGCGCAACCGGCGTAAGCCACGCGGATTAGTGCCCAGGGTCCACTTTAGCATCCGGGCTCTTGAAACTTGGCCGAGGGGGCGCTGTTTGCAGTCGCACGTCGGTGGGGGGCGGCTGGCTTCCCTGGGTGCCTGCCCCACCCCCAGGCGGATGGCAGTCTGTGCTCCACGGGCCTGTCTCTGCCCTAGGCCCAGGAGGAGATGGCCTGGAGGATAGCCAAGATGATAGTCAGTGACGTGATGCAGCAGGCGCAGCCCGGCCCGGCCGCAGACAAAGTCACAAAGGTAACGTGCCCGGGACCCGGGACCCGCCGGCTCCGTGACAGGGCTGGCAAGACGCTTCAGCCGGAGGGTGTTTCAGCGGCCCGTACAAGCTGGTGGCAGAAGGCTGCGGAGCGGCAGCTCATTTGAGCGGCACGCTCTTAATGGCCAGTTGTGGGAGGGGAGGGGAGGGGAGGGGAGGGGGACCAGGAGGAAGGCCTGTGGCTGCCCGGGAACCTCCAGCGGCTCCCCGCCCATGCTCAGCTGGCTCAGCCCGCTACTGCTGCCTTGCAGAGGGATCAGGCCGCTTCCGTCCGGGCCGGTGTGTTTGTAAGCACAAGCCCAGCGTGGGTCCTTGCAGCGGTGAATGCCAGAAGCACTTGTGTTTTGGCCTCTGGAGTGGGTTCTTCTTGCAGGATAACCAGACATTTCAGGGCGTCCGGTTTGAAAGCCCACGGCTACAGGAGACACATCTCATTTCGAGGCAGGCCTCTTTCCTGGCACGACGGCCCGCTTGGCAGGCCCCTGCCCATCCTGTCGCCTTGCAAAAGTGCTCCTGGTCCTTGCAGAGCACTTCTGTTAAGGCCACCACAGTCTGCAGCACATGGAGAGAGGGGGTGCGGCCTCTGGTAGTCCCAAGTGGCTTTCCAGCTCCCTCAGAAAAGCTGGAGGTGGGTTTGCCGCTGCTCCAGATGCACGTCCATTTTCAAACCAGCCTCTCCCTGCTTTCTCCTCCCAGCTATGATCTCCGGAAGCCCCAAGCGAAGGGAATGAGGAGTGTTTTTGAAGAGGAGACGGATGCGTCTCCCTCCGCCCTCCTCCTGCCAGAGTCTGCGGAACTGAAGCACTGCACAGAAGCCCCGCCCCTTCCTTTTAGAAAGAGCATCATGGGGAGGAAGAGAAGAGGACCCCCCCACCGGCACAGATTGATTGGCTTCCCCTCCAGCGTGCCCAGGAATGCGTTGCTTGCACCGTGTATCCCGCTCCGCCCACAAAGGATCACTCCTCTAAACACTCCGGAGCTGGAATAGGGTCCACCCTGGGCACCGGTGCCGGGGCTTCCCCACAAGAGGGTGCTAGTGGGGATTCGTTCCCCTTTTTTCAGGATGGCCTGGAGCACCTCACCCCACTGGACAGGGGCTGGGTGGTGATGCCAGTGGCCCCCTCCCCCCCTTTTAAAAGAGTCATACCATCCCAGAGCTGTTCTGGGTTTTCCCTACTTGAAACGTTCTGAGCGGAGCAGGGACCGGCCCTTGCCCTTCCCCTGTTCTGCAGAGAAGCAGGTGTCTGTTTCCAGCGGCGTCTTCCTCGGCTCACCTTCAGTCTGGCCTGAGCACCGGCCTGGCCTCTTCCTGGGACGTGGGGCTCGCACGCAGGCCGAAGGAACTGAGGGTGCCCCGAGGGCCGTGGGCAGTATCCTATTGACCCCAAGCCGTGTCCCTTCCCCAACTCTGTTCTTTTTAAATGCCAGTTTTGAGCCATTGGGCTTCCTCCTTCCAAGTTCCCAGTGACCTTCTAGGATTTAGAACCTCTTTCATGCCACCTGCAGTCGCTCTTGCTCTGCTGCAGCACCTGCGACAGGCAGGTAATTTTACTGGATTGTTCCAAGCGCTCAAAATGGGGTCCACTCCATTGTGCATGTGGGTTTTTCCTGGGTTTCCCCCCCCCCCAACACCTTCATTTCTATTGAAATACTTTTTCTTTGGAGAGGGTTTTTTTTTTTTAAATGCCTGTTTGCTTTTCTTGTTTTGAAGACCTGTGCAAAACAAACATACAAACACAACCCACTTCACCTGCAGGAGTGCTTCTGATCTGCCCTCCAGCATTTTGAAAGCTTTGATGGACGAAGCGAGCATTTAACGTTGCAATATCTGCCCTAGCAGACTCTCTACATCAGTTTGCCAGAAGCAAAAAAAGCTGTGTATAGGTTTTTTGGTACTGTGTACCACCTTATTGTCTCATGCCCAAGTATTCATGTAATTAAACCATATTTAATTGTGTTTTGATTGAATATATATATATATTCCAAATGTGTGCCTTTGTGTGCATTCCCTTATCTGCTTTGTCTTTCCCATGCAGAAGAACTCGGTTTTTCTCCTTAAACCTCTTTCAGCTCGAGGATCCAGATTTGTTTTAGCCAAGCAGTTGGGGGCCACAGCCCAGCAGAGGGAAGGGCTGTGAAGGCAAAAGGAGACAAATCCACAACACTAACGTGCAAGAGTGTTTTATCTTGCGGCAACTTAGCCTTCAGAGAGGCATTTCAGCTTTTAAAAAGGGGAAAGAACTGTGCACCAAAGCTGGGAAATGATTTCCTTTCTGTACTGCCTAGTTGCTAAAGCGTCCCAGTTGGTTCGCAGTCATCCATAGAGTAGAAAGCTCAAATACAGAGAAAGCACCAGTGTCCAGAATTGGACAACCATGTAATCAGCCAAAAGAACTCAAACACAGCTGTATTAAATAGAAAGCAGGCATAAATTCTCCATCGTATGTCATTGAATGCCACCAGCTGTCTGGGGGTAAGCGGTGCTCCCACCTGTGGCCAAAAAGGTGACAGGATTGGCAGGTAGGGCATCTGCAAAGAGAGCGGGGGCTACAAGGCTGATCCCAAAACTTCTGGGAGATGGGGGTTCTGTGAGAGACGGGAGAGTCAGAGGTGACGGGTACGAAACGAGGCCGGGGTGAAGACAGTGATAAGGGAGGCATTGTACCCCCCAACTCAGTACTGAAAGCTCAAAGGGGCCATCCCATAATGCTGGTAGGTGGAAGATCCAGGACAGATCCAAGACTTCTTCACAAGACATGTAGTTAGCTGTAGAACTTGCTTTCACAAAGGGGGGGGGGCTGGTTTGGATGACTTGGGGAGTGAACGGGAGTGAACAAATTCATGGAGGATAAAGTAGTCAATAGCTCCCAGTCTCCACAACCTAGTCTTCACCTCTGGGCCTGCCACTCCTTGCTGTTATTTGACCCTGGCTTGCTTGTGACAATAGACTGGATCTATTGCACTAAGCCAAGATCTCCACCCACCTCCATCATTCCTGGTCCTGGTGCTCCAGCCATTAGACATCTGTCACCTGTGCCCCATTCCTGGATAGTTACAGGTTGTCAAACTTTGAGTTCTCCTCTAGGTGAAGCCTGTTACTCGTCGTATGTCTGGATTCATACAACAGGATAACTCATGTTGCAACAAGCACCCTCGAGTGTGGGTTATCATATTATCTGAACCTGGCCAATATTATGCAAGTTAAACCAATGCTCAGCCTCAGGATAAATGTGTGACCTACTTTGCTATTTAAATGTGCACTCTGTTCACAACCATGAGGACTAGAATGTTAGCTTCTATATTAGCATTATTTGTAAAGGAAAGTGCTCTTGCTCAAAGCACAAAGTCTCCATCCCCGGCACCTCCAGTCCGATAGCGTAACGTGATGGGGCGGGAAAGCCGCTGAAACCTTGGGGGCGACCCTGGACAAGCCCCTCTACCAGCCGGAGAAGCCCTGAGTCGAAGCCCCTCCAACCATGTTGCAATGCCCACCTGTCCCCGGCAGGTGGCAGCCAAACGCCCTCCTGGCGCACCGCTGCCCGGCGCGGAGTGATGACGTCGCAACGTTCCATTTTCCCCCCGACCCACGTGGATGCAACTTGCAACAGGTAGCCTGCGGGAGCCGCTCGTTTTGGGGGGCAGGTAAGTCCTGCTCTCCCTTTTCGCTTGCGAGGGGGTGGGGGGAAGGGAGGGAGGGAAAGAAAGAGCATCGATCGATGGTGCAGGAGGGTGGCGAGCAAACAGCCCCAAGAGAAGGAATGGCCCCGGCGGGGTGTGCTTCGGGGGGTTTCGGAGGTGGGGAGCCAGTGCTCGCCTCGGGGCTTTTGTGGGGAAAGGCAGGCCAGATCCGGGCCGGAGTGGCCGACTGCGCTGTGAAGCTTTGGCCCTCGTGAAAGGAAGGGCGAGGAACCGCGCGGAGAGAAGGGAAGCCCGCCTGAACGGGGAGGACGAGGCACGGCTTTGGGTGGCTTGCCGCGGGAGGTGTCCAGGGAAGCTCCTGTGCCTCCCCCGCTCTGCAGAGGAGCGGGACTACAAGTCCCAGCATGACTACCTGGGAGTTTTAGCAGCCCCACACATCGCGGGGGGGGGGGCAGGTTGAAGCAACGCTGACATTCCGACTCCACTCAAACTGTTTAGATCACGCTTTTCCTACAAGGACTCAGGATCGCATTTGGCTCCTTCCTCCTACTTTATCGTCCCTACAACCCTGTGAGGTTGGGAAGGCTGGGAGGCACTGGCTGGCCCAAGATCACTCGGTGAGCTTCAGGGTTCGGTGCGGGTTTAAACCCAGATCTCCCTCATCTGTCTGCTGCAATAGTTTTCCTCCGTCTTCACTGTGCTGAACCTTCGCATAGGTTTGCCAAAGACATTTGGCATTTCCTTGCAATTTGACCCTGGATTTTGCAAATTCCATATCAGGCCTTGAAAGCTGGATAGCCTCCAGATGTTTTGCACTACAGCTCCCATCAGCCCCACCCAAATGTAGGTGTGTATCTATGCCACCAGAGAATAATGCATCCTGCATTCGGTGAGATGAGACTGCAACAAGCGGAATTTTTCTTACACGGATACCGGTCTCGAAATGTTCTATACCAGTTCTGGGGGAGGGTCAGCTGTCCCACTGCTGCCTTGCCTGTGGGCAGATGGTTGGCTGGTGTGAACAGAGAGCAGAGCAGAGCAGAGCGACTTCTGGGTCCAATCCAGCACACCTCTCTTTAAGTTCCAGTGATTTTACACATAGAGTTGCACCTTGTCAATACCTGCTTTTGAGATCAGTACCTGCTTGTTTTCTTCAAAGTCCATGCTGTTGCATTTACATTTTTATAATTACTCCCATTTTTTAAAAAATCTGCATAATGAAGGATCAAATAAGTGTGCTTTAACTCATTTCCCCATTTTGTCTGCTTTTATCCACAGATTCAAAAGCGGGGAGACTAAAATTACCAAGAAAAAATGAAGGCAGATGACGAGCGACTCCTGATCCAGTTCAAAGATGAAGCTGGCCAGCTCCTGGGGGCCCCCTTCGATGTCCCCGTTGACATCACGCCGGAGAAGCTGCAGCTGGTTTGCAATGCGCTCCTGGAGAAGGTACTGCTGAAGGACTCCTGGTTGCCTCCTAGCAGCGGGATCGTGGGGCGGGCGGGCTTGCTTCCCAGCAGAAACAGAAAGGGACAGAAAGGTTTCTGGGCTGAGAGCCGTTTCTTTCTGGAGAAACACTTCCACCTGACGGAACAGGGAGATTCCAGGAATCAGATCTGAAATCCCGCGTGTGCAAAGCAAGGGCTCCGCCACTGAGGGATCCTTCGTGTGTGCAAGGGGTCTCCGGGGTCTGGAGCATCTTAGGAATGAATGCCACGGCCCGCTGCATTGCCCATCACAATCGTTCCTTGGTTGCATCCATTCGGTCCCTCCCATGGAAGAATCAGACCGTGCCCATTTAAAAGTGGCTGTTCTCCATTGCCTTCGCATCCCCTTCTGCCAAATCCCATCGTGCACCTCTCCTGCAGGAGGAGCCGGTCCCCCTGGCCTTCTTTGTCCAGGACACTGAAATCGTGGCCTCCCTGGAGAAGACGCTGGCCGGGCAGGCGCTGGAGACCGAGCGGGTGGTGGAGATCACCTACCAGCCGCAGGCCATCTTCAAGGTGCGGGCCGTGACCCGCTGTACCAGCTCCCTGAAGGGACACAGCGAGGCCGTCATCTCGGTGGCCTTCAGCCCCACGGGCAAGTAAGTGGGGGGAAACCGGTGGGGCTGGTGCCATGGGTTGCCCCGGGACTGATGTTCCCATGCGCCGTGGGGGACTTTCCAGGTGTCCCCAGCTCCCTTGAATCACGACCGTGTGATTCGAGCACGAGGGGCAATCCAAGCAGTCTCCAGCTGTAGAACGGACAGATGGCTGGGATCTTGGGGGGCCGCGGGGTCGACTGGCAGCCACAAGGCTCTGGCAGAGGGCAAAGCTGCGAGCGGCCCTGCGGACGGGGCTCCTGGCATCCCTCGAAGGCTTGCACAGTTGGCCTGGCCTGATTTTGTGTGGGGATGTCCTCCTTTGCGAGCCATTCATTGTCTTCACAGGTATCTAGCCAGTGGCTCTGGTGACACAACAGTGCGCTTCTGGGACCTCAGCACCGAGACCCCGCATTTCACGGCAAAGGGTGAGTCTGGGTAAGGTGAGGCTGCGGAGAAACATGGTCTTGGGAAACAGATTCATTTCTTTAGAACCTTTTTCTCCTGCTCTTTGGCCAAAAGGAAAACAGCTCCTGGGAACAGCTTACAACTATTCTGCGAAAAATCATCCCATGCTCATGATGCCTGTGATCTGAAAAAGGTCATGTCACACAAGGAAACTGGATGAGGAGGGCAGAGGAAAAGACGCTTTCAGCAGGGTTGGCTCCGCTGCCCACTCTCACCTCTCTCTCAGCAGTCTGCGGGGGTTTGTGCAGCTGCGCTAAGTTTGTGTGGATGAGGCCATGTGTGATTTTCTAATCCTCTGCTTTCCCCCTCTTGTGCGTTTACCAGGTCACCGTCATTGGGTGCTCAGCATTGCTTGGTCCCCTGATGGCCGGAAGCTCGCGTCTGGCTGCAAGAACGGCCAGGTAAGGAAGTGGTGGCAGGCAGCCGGAAATTTCTGGCGGTGCCAGAGAGCCTGAATCTTTTTTAGAGCTGCAGTTCAGCCCCATAATTCAGGTCTAGAGCGTTGGAACCTACTGATTTACAGGGATGCCTGGATGGTGCAACAGAATGTTGCAGTCCGCATGGCTCCTGCTCCAACGCCAGCCAGTACATCTTTCCAAGTTATTCCTTTATATTCCCCCAGCTTTTCGTTTTCTGTCCCTTCTCTCCAAGAAATTCTGTTCTGCGGTCACTTTGCTTGTTCGCTCCGTATTGGGAGAGTTCAGGTGCTTTTCCTGCTGAGATCTTTCTTCTAAATATCTACAACTCCCAGCAAACAAAGCCAGCCTCCTTCTCTTGCAAAGAACCCGAAGTGGCCTGCATCATGCTTTTCCTCCTGCTCTCAGTCTTATCCCCACCACAACAACCCTGTGAGGTAGGCAGGGCTGAGAGCCTATGACTGGCGCAAAGTCATCCAGTTGCCTCATGGCTGAGCAGGGACTGGAACCCAGATCGCCGGAGTCCCGGTCTTGTGCTCTCAACCACTCCACCACATTGGCTGTGGTGAGGAATCCTGGGAATTCCTCCTGTGAGGAATCCTGGGAATTGTAGTTTGGAGAGGGCTCTGCAGGGCTGCACTTCTGCCAGGGGGTACCACAAAGCACCACCTTCTGTAGCCTTTTTCTGGGCCTGAAAGTATCCTGTGCCCAGTGCAGGCAGGGCCAGGAGCCCGGGGCTGGCTGGTCCAAGCCTAACCTTGTTGCCATGGTTCTCTCTTGAGCAGATATTCCTCTGGGATCCAAGCACGGGGAATCAGCTGGGCCGGGTGCTTGTGGGACACTCCAAATGGATCACTTCCCTGTGCTGGGAGCCTCTGCATTCGTAAGTCTGCGTGCCCCCGGCCCCCTTTTCTCACGGTGCGGAACGTGACTGGCCGCCAGCAGAGCATGCAGCTCCAGTTCCGCTGCTGCATTCGAATGGCTCGATTGGCTCATTGCGGTGTCTCCCTCCACTCCCCAGGAACCCGGAGTGCCGCCACCTGGCCAGCTCCTCCAAGGACGGTAGCGTCCGCATCTGGGACACGGCCGCCGGCCGCTGCGACAAGATCTTGACGAGCCACACGCAGTCCGTGACCTGCGTCAAGTGGGGGGGAGAGGGCCTGCTGTACTCCTCTTCCCAGGACCGGACGATCAAAGTTTGGCGGGCCCAAGACGTGAGTTGGGGAGAGTCTCCCCGGTCCGGCCACAGCCCTCTTGGCCAGCTGGGTGGGGGGTGGCCTGTCCCGGGCCCCTGCGCCCTCTCCTTATAACCTCTGCCACCAGTCAGGTGCCTGGGACATGGCCCAATCCAAACGCAAGGGGGAGTGGCCAGACTCCTTTGCATGCAAGAAGGGTCTTTTCTTCCTGGTGTGGGGTTGGCGCACTCTGCCTGTGGGATCACCCCCGTGGACATCCCCCAAATGCAGCCCCCAGGCTCCTCCTCTGCGCATTCGAAGCCACAGACCTTCCCCTTGCCAAGCGCTCTTTACTGGCCAAAAGCACAAAATGTCCAGGTGATTCTCGGAGCATGCACAGAGCGGTTTGTTGGGCCCAGTCTAGTTTTCACCTCCAGGAGCAGTGCTCACGAGCACGCCGGGCCCTGATCCCGAGGGATTTTTTGGACGTGAGCGTGCCTCCTCTGTATGGCAGTCCTCTAATGGAGGAGTCCTCCTGTTGGCAAAGTGTCGGGGTCAAGAGCTGTGCCCGCCTCGTCTGAGAAACTCTCCTGCTCCGAGTCGCTTCCCACCAGCTGTAGATCTTGGTTACTTCCAGAGGCTGCCTGCGCCCCTGGGGCGTCTGGCCTCGAATTGAGCATCTCGGCATTTCCCGTCTCAGTGTCCCAGCCTGGCCTGCATTCCTGGTCCTGCTACTTCTCTCTCGCATCGCCTCCTGGTTCTTCGGCCGCCCTTGAGAAAGCAGTCGTCTTTCCCACTCCCGACGCAGCAGTGGGCATAATTTTTCTCCTTCCCTCCCTTCCCAGGGCGTCCTCTGCCGCACGCTCCAGGGCCACGCGCACTGGGTGAACACCATGGCGCTCAGCACAGACTATGTTCTCCGCACGGGGGCCTTCGAGCCGGCCGAAGCCTCCATCAACCCCCAGGACGTGAGCGGATCCTGTAAGCGCATCTCCAGTTTGCTCTGCCCGTATCCCTTCTCCCAGTTTTCTCTATTATTTCTTTCATTTACTCGCTCTGTTGATATCGCTCCCTTATTTCTCCAAGCAACCTGAGTTAGCCTGCATAAGCTTCCTCCCTCCCTTTTTATCCACATGACAACCCTGTGAGGTAGGACAGGGCGAGAGTCACAGACAGGCCCAGAGTCACCCTGAGGGTTCTGTGGCCAGGTCTGGTCTCGAACCTGGATTTCCGGAGCCCCAGTCCGACACTCCTTGAGCTTGTGTCGAAATGCCGCACCCTGTCCCATGCTCGCCGCTTTTCTGCTTGTGATAACGGGGAGATCCGACATGGTCCTCGTTTCCCCCGCTGGTCCCTAACCTCGCTCTTTTTGCCCCTGCAGTGGCCGAGATCAAAGAGAAGGCACTGCAACGATACAATCAGGTCCGGGTAAGTCTGCCCAGTCCCAAAATCATACAAAGGATCTTCCACATGTGCCTGCCCGCCCCTTAAGATTTGGGACAGAGGTCCTTCTCCGAGTGCCCACCCTGACAGAGATTAGGAGGGTGACTACCTGGAGAAGGGCCTTCTCTGCGTTGGCACCCCGATTGGAATTCGCTCCCCAGAGAGGTTTACCTGGCACCGTCACTTTATTCTTTTCAGCGCCAAGCCAAAACCTTTTTATTTTCCCAGTGTTTTAAGACCTGACTGTTTTAACTGGGGTTTTATTATTGCTAAATTTTAGGACGCTGTGTTTTTACATTTTTCCCCTTTTCTAACATTTTGTATTGTCCAACCGTCCTGAGACTTCGGTAATGGGACGGTCTACAAAAGTTTTAAATCAAGTGCCCCACTGCAGCTTTCACGAAAATGTGCAGCGAGGTGCTCCGAAGCGTACATTTCTGGGCCGTGCGTGCACACGAGACGTCTCAGGTGCGGCAAGGCGATGTTGATGGCCAAACGAGCGGCTTGTTCTACGATCCCCCCCTTTTTCATCTGAAAAATCGTTCTGGGTTTCCCCACCCGCAGGGCCATGCGCCGGAAAGACTCGTCTCTGGGTCGGATGACTTCACACTGTTTCTCTGGGAGCCTGCAGATGATAAAAAGGCTCTGGGGAGGATGACGGGGCACCAGGCGCTGATCAATCAAGTCGTCTTTTCGCCGGATACCCGCATCATTGCCAGCGCTTCCTTCGACAAATCTATTAAGCTCTGGGACGGAAAGACGGGGAAGTATGTAGGAACGTTGCTGCGATAATTATGGTCTGTAACAAGAGCGTTCGATCTCTCTCAGTGTCAGGGCCAAATTGCTATTTGGAGACGTTCTCGGGAGGCTGCACCCCAGTAGGGCCAAATCTGGCCCACTGAGGTTGTGTGTCCTTGATTTACAGGAATTCCCCCACGCCGTCGTTCCTCAGAAACTCCTCAAGTTGGTTCACAGTTCTCAGAGTTGGGAATTCTTAAAACATCAGTAGTTAAAACATGATGAAAGAGGCAGTGTTTAAAAAATGCACTTAGTTTTAGGCTTAAACTCAGGATACGGCTGGATCATTTTTGGCATTTTGTCTTGAAAATAAGCTGCTAATCCTTATGATGGTGGCTGTCGTTTATGGGGATGGATCAGGAGAGCTTGGGATGATGGGACTGGTGGCTGCTGGGAAAAGGAATTAATACGCTTGGATGCGAGAGAAGCGGCCAAATGGACCCTCTGGCCTTTTCCACCGCTCTCCCCCAGGTTCCTCGCATCCCTGCGAGGACACGTCTCTGCCGTGTACCAGATTGCATGGTCAGCGGACAGCCGCTTGCTGGTCAGTGGGAGCAGCGACAGCACCCTCAAGGTGTGGGATGCCAAGACCCGGAAACTGGCCATCGATTTGCCGGGCCACGCGGACGAGGTGAGCCCCTCAATGACTGCCGGGTTTTCCTGGTGGCTGCTTGACACGCGAGTAGGGGTTAGGGCCATGGCAAGGCCTTGTGCGGTGCAGCTGTAGGTGGGGGGGGGGTCTCACAGTTGTGCACACAATGCCCTTGTGAGCTCCAGAATCCACCGTCCTGAGAACCAAGGGATTTGCCGAGTCGTGTCTGTCCCATGAAGTTTCTAGTCCTCAAGATGGATGCGATTTTCGTGGGCAGGTGCGGGCACAGGATACTGGTGAAACCTTGCCATTTTTAACTTAACTTTTTAATGCAAAGGGGAAGCTAGCCAGGCTGGCTCAGCCTCCAAGTGCTGGTCTTACTGGTGTTTCTCTTGTCTACTTCGTAGGTATTTGCCGTGGACTGGAGCCCCGACGGTCAGCGAGTAGCGAGTGGAGGGAAAGATAAATGTCTGAGGATGTAAGAGAATCTCCTTTTTTTCTTGAGCCGTCACACTGACCCCTCACTGCTTGCTGAAAGTGTGTATATAGTCAGACCTCGCTGGGTGTTCTTGCGCGAGCTAAACCTAACCTACCTTGCTGTACTGTTGTGAGGAAAAAGTAGGCATGACTCTACCTGTGTTACTTTAGTCCTTTCAAAGCAGGCAAAGAGACACATCTTTTCCTCTTCCCTTTTAAAACAGATGGAGACGATAGCGGCGAGGATGGACTGGTGGCAAAGTCGGATTCTTCCATGATCCTCATGTGGCAGAGCAAAGCGTTCGTTCCCACCACTAAAAGAGGATTATTTGAATTAGGCCTGTATGTTTTGATACACCTGGATAAAGGATTTGGCAGGGGGCTGATGCCTCTTTCAATATCTAGCTTGTCTCAGATCTGCATTCCTCCGACCATCTCTTGGTTGACAAGAAACTGGTGCCGGGAAATGAAGTTGGGAAGCCGCTGGCTCGAATCTTGCCTCAGTCCTGACGTGAGCTGCCCGCCTGCCGCATCGGTTCTGGTACGACGAACAGGGATCGTCCTATCGCTCCTAATGCGATAGCAGCTCAGGTGAGATGTGCCGAAAGCGAACGGAAGCAGAAGACGAAGTCTCGACGTGGAGACCTCTGTGGTTCGGAGCAGACTTGGGATTAGATGACGTCGGAAATGACTTCCTTCGCCAACTGAAGGAGCTGGGCCCCCGGAAATGGTTTCTGCCGCACTGTTCCAACCAGGATTAATCCTCCTGCTCCGTGTTGCTCACAGGCGTTTTGAGAACACGGCGGCCAATTTTCTGGACGGGGATGTGGAAAGGGTGCGTCCGCTTGGGAGGGCCCCTCTCCGCCCAGATCCTGTCCTGTGTCTGCTCCAAGGGGAAAGAGAGCCTTTCCTGTCTAATACATGTATTCTGCTTCCCATGGACTGTGACTGACCCCCGTTCAGCATGCAAGTAAGCGTTGCCACCCTTGAATCGGCCGCTCAGGCAAGCGTCCCGAACTCCGAAACCATCGTGCGGGGTTTGCAGCTGCCGCAAGTCCACTTCTGTCGAAATCCGGCAGTGCAGAGTGCAGGCAGGGTATCCCACTGCTACCGGATTCTCTCCGTACTCCACGGATCCTCCAGCCCCTTGAGCTTTTTTCCTGCTTCCTCGTGCAAAAGTTCCGGCAACCAGGACTGCAGCTTGAGGTCACGGGTCGAAGGTGGTTCTCGCAGCTCGGAAAAGACTAAAAATGATTGGCTTTTATTTTCTTTGCCCTCTGAAATGCATTTATCTGCTTAGACAGATGCACCTGCTGATTAAAAAAAGCTAAGTATGTGCTCTTCGCAGTTTTCATGATCTAAAAAGCTCTCCTGAGTGTGTTGTCGTTGGGACAAACACCAGTAATCACGGTGTGTGTGGCTGGGCGTGGCTGTTTGTCTTGTCCCCGTAGCCACCGGAAGAAAATGAGTCAGCATGTCTTTTTCAACACAGCCCTGCTCATAATTCATGTCCAACTTGAGTTGATCGATCTGCCGGAAGGGCTGAGGCCCCCTCCGTTCCCTTTTGACTTTTCATGACTTTTCCCGATGGCTCTTTAATTGCCTTCCTCGAACCCGCCACTGTCATCCGCTGCTTTCCTCGTTAAAGCCTCGTTTTTCATGGGATGTCGCCTGCACATGTGGAGCGATGAGCCACAGGGAGAACCCCCTCGAGGCCATTTTTCATTGCAGCAGGAGGTGGGCATGAGCGCGGCGGTGCTGTTATATAAGCCTTCCCTTTCTGTTTTCACTCCTTTCCCTGAAGCTCAGTGAGTCTGAAGCTGAAGTTGGCAGTGTGGATTTGGAGCTCAAAGCCACGTTGGCCACGGAGCTTGGCTTTGAACACGATGTCAGGCAGAAGGACAGCAGTCCTCGGCCGCCACCGAATCCTACAAAACCTTGACTCGAAAGGAGAGAGGAAAATTGCTAGAAGAGGGCCACATGTGTGTTGTATGCGGTGCTTTGGGATTTTCCGGGGTTTTGCTGCTTGTGTTACAGGGCTTTGGAGCAGGGCTTAGCAGCCTTGACACACCCCAAACTGCAGTTCCCATTAGCCCCAGCCAGCATGGCCATAAGCACCAAACCCCCATGTACATACGCGCCCACACAGAGAAGCGTGGAGTGGGAGAGTCGAGGAAGGGAGATGCAGTGTAGCACAGGGACACACAAAAAGACACGAACATGGAGACCACACACACAAAAAACAGAGAGCGACATGCAGAGTTATAGAGAGCATAAAGGGGTAGACAAATGCACCCCATTAAGACTACAATCCTAAGCACTGATTACTTGAAAAGCAAGCCCCACTGCATTTGCTGGAAATTTTAACATTTCTGTATTTATTTATTTATTTATTTATTTATTTAAACATTCCTATGCCGCCCCATTCGCCGAAGCCTCGGGGCGGCTCACAACATTAGGTTAAAATACAAGAAATAATATAAAATAAGCCACCCTGGCGAGATAAAATAATAATATTAACAATTAAAATGACGCTTAAATAAAAAGGTCTTCGCCTGGCGCCGAAAAACAAATATTCATGTGCTGGTTCTTCCCTCTGCAAAGAACCCGTGGCAGCTTTCCTAATTCCCCTTCCCATTTTATGCTCACAACAGCCCTGCTAGGTAGGCACGGCCCAACGTCTCCCCCCCCCCCCCCCCCAGTGAACTTCGTGGCTGAGTGGAGGACTCGCGCCCTGTTAGTTTTCCACACAGACTCTCCCGCCGCTCTGGTTTTCCTCTGGTTTCTTCCTCCGTATCCGTTCAGCTTTGCCTTCTTGAATGGCACTGTTCTTCCTGAACAGAATGCCTGGGTCATTCATCGCACTAGCACGTATTCTAATAATTTCTCATAATGATTTTCACCTTTGATCATGGCAACAGTCCTACATATTAGCAGTCATTAACGTCTCTGCTCTCACACTGAGAGGGCATGCAAGTAATCCTGGCTTTCACAACGTTAATATAACCCTTGGTAAAGGTAAAGGTTTCCCCTTGACATTACGTCCAGTCACGCCTGACTCTAGGGGGCAGTGCTCATCTCCGATTTCTGGCCGAGGGAGCCGGCATTTGTCCGCAGACAGTCTCCGTGGCCGTGTGGCCGGCAGGACTAAACACCGAGGTGCAGGAACGCTGTTACCTGCCCACCGAAGTGGCACCTTTTTATCTACTTGCATTTGGATGCTTTCGAGCTGCAAGGTTGGCAGGAGCTGGGACGGAGCAACGGGAACTCACCCCGCTGTGCAGATTCGAACCGGCGACCTTTCGATCAACCAGCCCAGCAGCACAGCGGTTTAACCCACTGTGCCACCTGCAGTCCTATAACCCATGTTATTTAACCCCAAATTGCATTGGAAAGGGAAGGGTCGCTTGGTATACCCACTTCCCGGTCTCCACAGTAAGGGAGTCAAACTGGAGATGGATTTGGTGGAGAACGCAAAAGCCTCAAGCCGGGGCAGGGGTTTTATTTAATTTTAAACAGGCCCCAGTTCTGTGGGAGGATCTTAAGAGTCCAAGGAAAGTGAGGGTACATCTCCTTTTTATTAAGTATGCCCACATCTGGAACACACTGCAAAACAAAGTACTTCGACCTAAATATGTTTTGGCCTACAATTCCCATCAGCCCTGGCCAGTATAGCCAATGCTGAGGGATAGACCAAAACCCCACAGAAAGACACGGGGCTGTGGACCTTTTTCTCGCCATGGTCTCTCCAGGCAGTCACCACCACTGCCTGCGGGCAAATATATTTGTTATGTAACTTTATAGAGAATTCATTCACTTTAATGTGTTTGTTTTCCCGTTTTTCCCATCACAAGAGGCAGTATTCATTAGATGCTTTATTAGACGATGCCCCATTTTGTCCAAGATGTTTATTAGACACTTACGCAACTGTATTGTGCCTGGGGCAGAGACTGCTTGTGTGCTTTTGTGTGTTTTTTTCCTATTTGCTCAGCACTTGGAAAGCATCAGGAATTTTATTACAGATAATAAGACGGGGAAAACAGCAGTGGCCCAGGCAAACAGGCGTGTCGGGAGAAGTCACCAGGAAAACAGAGCTGTGGTTTCTATCTGGCTGAGCTTTCAAAAGCCTGAGAAATGGGGCGCCATGGAAAACGAAACATCAGCAAGTGGGCAGAGTGTTCGAAAGAACCGACGCAAGGTCTGAAGTGTGTCGAAGGAAAGTTAAAAAGCTCACCTGCCTTGGGGCCTGTTTATGAGTTCCTGGCCGTCCGTGTGGCCAAGGGGCATATGACACGCCAAGGTCATGTGTGTACCTGCATGTTGGGCCACGGCTGTAATAAAATGGAGGGATCGATGTGCGTCATCTGGACAGATTCGGTCTGGGGAAAATGGCTTGCAGTTCAGGGGGTTTTTCCTACCTTTTTTTTAAGTGGAAGAAGATGTTTTTATCCCTGCTTCCCGATTCAGGGATGGCCCAGGCTATTTTGCAACTCGGCCTGTAGAAAAACTGAGCACACCTCCTGTGCCATTCGCAAATCTAGCTGAAGGGGCATAGGATGCAGCCATCTCCTCCACCCCCTAAGCTCAGACACCAAATGGCAGGATTGGCCCTGTGTGGGTGTCCCCCCCGCCCCATGCGACCCCTCCCCACACACAACTGGGAAGGTTTGCCTTTGCCTCCGAGGAGATTCAGTGTGTTCCCCAAGATGGATGGATGCCTTTGTCACATGCTGGAAGCTTTTGACCGCAGGCCTGCTTGGCCCAGTGGGAATGGCAGATTTCATCCACGACATTCACCTACCTTCTCTTCCTTTCCAAAGAACTCACCGTTTTCTTCTGTTTTTACATTCCCAGCAATCCTGCGAGGTGGGTCAGGCTGGCACTTGGTCACCTGTGCAAGAAACAGGAGCTTTGCTAATTCTTGCTAGCTGCTTCATATATTCCTGCTCCAAGGAAGATGTTCCCTGACCATGAGCTTTGGAATGGTTGCTTTAATGGATCAATGTTTCCCCGATCTTTTCTCCAAATGGTTCAGTAGAGTGCCTGCGATTCTTTGCCGCACTCTCTCATTGCAGCACAACAACCTTGCAAGGTGGGTCAGTCTGGGGATGGGAATGGGACCAGGCCAAGACCCTCCGGTGAACTAAGTGAGGATTCCAAACCCCACAATCCTAGTCAGACCCAAGGTTTTTGCAAGGAGAGCCAGTGTGGTGTAGTGGTTAAGCGCATGGGACTGGGACTCAGAGGATCCGGGTTCGAGTCCCCTCTCGGCCGTGGAGCCCACTGGGTGACTTTGGGCCAGTCACAGACTCTCAGCCCAGCCTACCTCACAGGGTTGTTGTTGTGGGGATAAGAGGGAGGAGGAGATGTAAGCTGCCTTGAGCCCTTTGCAGGAAAAAGGCAGGATATAAATCGTTAAGTAAAAAAATAAGGATGGAAAAAATGGACTACAATTCCCATCATCACTCTTCCATCCCCTGTTCTAGCTGAGGCTGATGTGAGTTTTGGGCATGAAAAGGCCAATATCACATTGTTGTTGGCAGAGCAAGCTGTTCTGACAGGATACAGGGGCAGGCCTGGCCGAGTTTTAGAGGGAATTGGTTATTCTAGGAAAAGGGTGGCAGCTCTCCTCCAAGCCACTTGTCAACAGTGCTGCCTAGTGGTTAGAGCAGGCCTTTTCCCCCTGCCCTGTCAAGGGCATCTTGCTTCGCCAAAAGCCAGCACAGAGTACAGCTGCAGGGCAGCTTCCTGTCACGCAGAGAGGCTGCACAAACCCAGCTGGCACCCCACCTCACTGAGGACTGGCTCCTTGAAGACTTGCCGCTTGTAAGACAACCCGCGTCGCCACGCGAGGGGAAGAAGGGCCTTGTTCTTCACGTGTCCCTTCCGTGTTTGGGGTGTTTATGTCCAGGCCTGTTTCTTACCCCGAACCGAGCGGCCGCCCAGACTTTGGTTCTCCCAGAACTTTCCCCGGTCGAGTTTCCCGCGCGCGGGGACTCTTTTCTTCGCCTGCCCCTTCGCCCCGCCCCTTTCCTGCCCGCCGGCGGAGGAGGCAGCGGCCATTGGCTGGGCGATGCGTCCTATAAAAGCTGCTGCGCCGCGCGGAGGTGCCGGCAGTCGCAGCCGGACGCCGGCGAGGGAGGAGGGCCTGTTGGCGGTGGTCGACGCGAGGGGCGGCAGCGGCCTGAGAAGAGAGACGACCCCCTTTCAATTCCTCGTCTAGAAATACCTCAGCCTTCGGGCACCCAGGAGCGCGAGAAGAGCTGGGCCAGCGCCCGCATTTTCGTACCCTTTAGACCCCATTGGCGTGACTCCCTTTTTTTGGGGTGGGGGCGGCTGGCAGCCCCCCTGAGCTAGTGAGGAGGTGGGGGCCACGATGTAAGAGGCCGACGCAGAGGGACCCCTAAGGGGGGGCTGGACCCGCTCCCCCATTTCCCCAGTTTACGGCCAGTATATTGCTCTGTGTGTCTCTTCCCCTCCCTTTAGAAAGGGCTAAATATCTTCCGACTTTGTTTTGAAATATTTTAAATTCCCTATCCATTATTCTGTCCCCTCCCCGCGCGGTCAGTACTATCCCCACTCAGGGATATTGTCATCCATTTTCTCTCCCCCCCCCTTAAAAGAGGTACCTTAATTTCTCACCCATATTTTAAGGGGGTCTTCTGTATTCATATCTGTGCGAGAAACTGCATCCCTCCCATTCTCATTTCTGAAGATTGTTATTCCCCACTTTGCAAACCGTATACCCTGAAAATCCGACTGGGGGTCACTTCTCGTGCTGGTGTATCCCCCAATTTTGACATTGGGTCCCCCACCCAGTTTCCTGGCTTTTGTTGCTTTTTTTGAGCCCTGCAGATAACGGGACTTTATTTGCTGTTTCCCCATCTTAAACCAGCTTTCCGGCCCATTCTGGGGGGGAAAAAACCCCTTTTCCAGGAGACCGCAAGCCCTTCCATTAAAGGTGCTTCCCCCCCCCCCCCAATCTATAAACTTCCATGTTCACCTTTGCTTGGCCCTCTGCTGAGCAACTCAAGAGGTTATATATGTTTTAAAGGACCGCAAGGGGACCCTGGATGCCTCCCACTTCCTAGCCCCGTTCCTTTGACTTCTCGGCCCCCTTCGAAGGAGGCTTGTCCAACATCCTCCTGTCTCCCCCCTTCCCTGTTCTCCATGCCAGAAAACGCCCATCACCTTTGCAAAGCCCTAGTGGCCAGCCAGTATCCCCCGAACCCTTTTTGCTGGGGGGGCTGGCCTGCCCCTTCCCGAGTGGCATGCTGGTGGTGGCCCCTTTTCCTGGGGGTGCAGATGGAGTCGGCCCTTCCTGCCCCGCTTCTGCTCCCCCTTTGCTGATGTGAGCTCGGCTTAGCCCCTGTCCCCCCCAACTCCTTTCCCTTTAATCCTCTTCCCTCCCTCCCTCAAAAAAACAACAACTCCCCATCAAGCTTCATGCCCCCCTGAGGATCATGGAGGTGGTAGGAGATTTTGAATACAGCAAGAAGGACCTCGTAGGACACGGAGCCTTTGCCGTGGTCTTTAAAGGTCGCCACCGCAAGGTAAATGCAGCAGTTGAGGGGGGGTCTCCCCTTCCAGCCCCCCTTCCCAGGTTATACAACCTCCCCCTTTGCCATTCTGTGTTTGTGTACATGGCCTGGCGGAGCCTGTGCTAGTTGAGGTGGGATCAGGGTTTTGTTTTTTTTAATCCATCTGTTTGTGCATTTGTGTATGTGTTTGATCCACGCTCAACCCAGGAGACCGTTGTTCCGAGCTGCGCCCCGTTTCACCTCTCCTTACTGGTTTTATGGTTTGTTGCTGTTTGTATAACCCTTACGTTTTCCGGAGAGTCTGTTGAAGCAGAAAACCGTTTTGTGCTTTCGGGGTTTCGTTTTGGCACCACTGCTTCCCTCCTCGAAGCTCCTGCCTGTTTGTTTTCATTTGCAGAAGGGACCAGAGATGTTGATGGGTGATCGGTTTGGTGATGTCAGCTTGTTTTTATGCATTCTTCCCACCCCGCCTCATCTTGCTTTTAGATGCAATGTGAAGGTCCGCAGGAAGTTATGACTGGCTTGGGTGAATATCAGAAGTCATAGGCAGAGGGAGGGGACCGTTGCTCGCCCCTCGCCCCGCTTCCGTGTGCTTCTGCATCGGGCTCTCGGTGCATGGACCAGAGCTGCTCCTGGGACACACTGTCCCCCCCCCCCCGGCTGCTGGGCTTCCCCATCCCCGTGTAATAATTTCAGCCTAATAAAAAAAAACCGTGTGCTTTCCAGATGCGTGAAGATCTCTTAGGGCTGGCAGCACTTTCTTCCCTAGCCGCCTTAAATTCGCCCGTCTTGCTTTTGTTGGGTAAGCAGGAAGATCTGCCTTCAGGGAAGGGTCCCCCCCACCCCGTCCCTGGCAGGGCCTAGCTTTGACCCACCCTTCTGGACTTCTGCCTCCCCTTTTATGGGAACCTTGCAGCGTGGCCTATAGTTGAGCTTACATCTTCATGAGCCTGTTTTGCTACCCACTAGCTGGGTGGCTTTGAGCCCTGCCTCAGTTCCCCACCTGTTAAAAAGAGCCCTTGATGCATTCTCCTGCAGGTGGCTGTGAAGGAGGGCCTGAATCGTAAACCGCTTGGGCAAGGTCTTTTCTCTCTCTCTTTGCTTTATGCTTAGCAAAATGAAGTGTATTTGGCACTGTGTAAATAGAGAAGAGGCACCTTGTGCCCTCCAGATATTCTGGACTGTGACCGCTCCTCCCTCTAATCCTGCTGGCCAGGGTTGATGGGAATCGTAATGCAAAAAAATCTGCACTTAAATGCCCCCAGCTTAAACAATTGGAAGAAGCCGGGAACTCTGCATGGTGTTAAGTGCCTCTTGGAAGCCTGTAGTAATATGAAGGCCCCATTGAATTAAGATTGCTCGAAGGGGCATGTCTTTGCAGAACAGAAAACCTGTTTGATGCTGTTTGTCTTCTTAAATAGCACTTGTTTTTTCCTGGCCTTTCCTAGAACTCTTTTGTGACTCCAGAATGACTGCATTGGCTGACTGGAGCACAACAAAAACGGTTGTGTAACAGAAATGGCCTCATGGGCTGTTGCCATGAAAGCCAGTGCCATGCAAAGTTTATATGGGGTGAAGACTGGAATGGGCTGAGTCGAGCAGTTGGGTTGTAATAGAAATATACATGCCCTCAGGGAGAAAATCAATATATGTAGGTGACGCTTGTTCTTCTGCCTGGGCCTTACGTCCCGTCAAAATGGCTATTCTGGATTGATCAGTGCAAAAAAGAATCTTGCACTCCGTTTGCAATAGTTTATGACTGGTGGTAGAAATCGATGCACAGGAGGAGAGATCGTGGGTTGGCTGTTTCAGCTTAACGACAGGCGGTGCCTGGCTCTCGCTGGCCCGGGACTCGAACTCAAGGCCCAGTGCTCACTGTGCTGGAGCACCTCAGTGTCCTAAACTCCAGGGTAGGGGGAGGAGAGAAAGTCGTGGGGAAGAGCCCCAGCATGTACCGCACCACCACCTTTGCCATCTCTGAGATGGCCACAGGCATTCCAGTTGGCATTCCAGAGAGTGCCGGTGTGGCTCCCAGCGGCTGCATCTTCAGTGAACAAGAACTTGAGGGCCTGTGTGGGGTGGTGAGCCGGAGTGCAGGAGATCTCGGCTCTGTTTCCCTCTTGCCCACAGCGCTCATTGCGTGGTTCTTAGGCTCACCTACCTCACAGGGTTGTTCTGAGGATAAATTGGAGAGGAGGAAGGTGATGCAAGTCGCCTTCAGTTCTTTCATAGGATAACGGGCGGAGAACTTACCAGTGAAGGGCTGAGTAACAGCATCCTCTTCTTAAGAGTCTTGTGTTAATGGCTTGGGACCGGGATACCTAAAGGAAGGCCTGCTTCCATATTTGCCCTCCCACCCCCTGAGATCGGCGGCAGAGGCCCTTCTCCGGGAGCCCTCTGTGAGGGATATTAGGAGGGTGAGCACCTGGAGGAGGGCCTTCTCTGTGGTGGCGCCCAATCTATGGAATGCACTCCCCAGAGAGGTCCGCCTGGTGCCGTCGTGATTTGTTTTTCGGTGCCAGGCTAAGACCTTTTTATTTAAACAATATTTTAACATCACCTATAGGTTTTTAATTTACAGCCAGGGTGAATCTGGATTTTAATTTGTACTATATTTATTGTTTGTTCATTATATGTAAGCCATCCCGAGGCTCTTGCGATGGGACGGGATACAAAAATTCTAAATAAATAATAAATGTTGGCTACTGCTAAGAAACTGGAGCAGGGAGAACCTAAAAGCTGCTTAGAACACAAAAGTTCTAGAGCCCTTTTGTATTCTTTCCTGGGGCAACGTAGCTGTGTAATTGTAAAATTAGGAAACTGCTTTGTATTTGAAATGGCTTTGTTTTCTTTTTCAGAAAACTGACTGGGAAGTGGCCATTAAAAGTATTAACAAGAAGAATTTGTCGAAGTCTCAGCTTCTGCTTGGGAAAGAGATAAAAATTTTGAAGGTATGTTTGTGATCCTCTTTGAAGTTTATCTTCCTTGTGCTGGGGTGTCCAGAGGAGATAGGAAGTCCCTTGTTTCCTGGCTTATAAGTCAAAGGCTTATAATTGGAGGGGCTTCAAACAGAGCCTGAAGTTACATGGCATGGAGAATGTGTGCATTGCCATGGTTCTCTTTGGGGGATTAAAATTTTTTTTTAGGTGTAAGGACAACAAAAGCATAGATGTTAAGATCCTGAGAAGCTCTCTTTTCATGATTTCTTGTTTCTAAAGTTGAGTTTCTAGTTCTTGCGTAGCCTCAGTGATACTTATAAAACCATAGTTTACAGATATAAGTATCAACATGGCTGATGTTTGCTCTTGGACATAAGTCTGTTCCCAGAGCATCTCAGCTTCCATTTAAAAATATCCACCCCCAACTCACTAGTAAGTCTGTAGTCCTTGAGTTGTGAGTGAGCAACACCAAGATTTCAGAAGCCAAATAAGAGCTAAGCCAGATTCCAGCAGTGGGGATGTAGGTTTGCTATCCATATACTGCATTGCAGGAGTAGCAGAAAAATTCTGAATTATATAAAATAAGCAAATAAATGCACATCTGTTTCCTTTGTGTCATTTAAGGGAAGTAAAGGATTTGGCTTTTTTGGATGCAAAACTCCATGCTTGCTTAGCAGAAACAAGTCCTCTGTGTGTGCATTTAGCAGCCTGCATTTGTCTGCTGTAGAAATAGAGACCTGCTTCAGCTTTGTAGCCTTTGGCTTGCTATTTGGTGCTGGTGGTGGTGTGTTTTCTGAGACTCCTCCCATTCTTGACCGGGAATGATGTGGGTTGACACTCCTGGAGATCTGTGGAATTTTCACACTTGGCTCTGTCGCCCCGGAATGACCTCCCCACTCCCTTTCTCAAAATGCTCACTGAGCAAAGAAAGAACAATATCAGGTCTGTGCTCGGGGTTCATGAATTTGAGACGTTTGAGCCAGCAAGAGGGAGAGCGCCGGCGGCAGCACTGAGGCCCAGCTCTGTGGACACATCTTGACACACATTGCATTTCTGAGAGGGTTTTCCTGTGGAGCATCGGGAGTCCTTGTGGATTTTGCAGGGTACATCAGCAGGCAGACTACCAGGGGGTGCTCGCTGATCCTGGGCTCAGCCCAGTGGCACCCCCAGTTTAAAAGGTCCGCTTACAGGTGACGGGTAAGCTCTTCTCCCGGCCCAAGACCGTGGGACCTGTTGCCAGTCAACGTTTGAAGGTAATCCTGGCCTGGATGGGCAGATATTCTGTGAGGCAGCTCCTTGTGTTTTTGCAGTAGGTTTCTCCTGGGAGCTGTTGGATACAGGTGTAGGAGTCTGCCTGGAAAGGCCTGTGCAGCACCCTAAAGCTTGGTGGATTGGGAGAAGCGGCTCCACGAAGCCACTCCGTCGGGCTGCATGGGGCGGGCCCAGCCCGGTCTGGTGGGGGCGCTTGCCGCTGCCCTTCCTCTCAGATGCGTGGCAGGCCCCTCGATTTGCCTGCGGAGTCTTGGCCGGGAGGCAGTTCGATTGCACGCCGACACCTTACAAGGCGAGCCCCACCTGTAATGTTCGCCTTCGCCGTGGGCCTCACCTAAGCGCACTCTCACCAGACGAGGGCTGCCTTCTCCCCTCATCGTTCGTGCTGCTGCCGCTGCTTCTCCAGCGTGGCTGGTTGGCACTCCAGCCCCGTGAGTCTCAACATGGTGGAATTCACTCCTGGTCCTTCCCGTGCCAGACTTCGTGCGCAGGAGTTCCTTTCCTTCCAGATGTGCCCTCCGCAAGGTGCACTGCCTTGCTGTTCCTTGCTTCGGTGTGTGTAATCGGCGGCAGTGAAGCTTTTATTCATTCATTCATTCATTCATTTAGAAAATTTCTAGGCCTCCCCATTCGCCGAAGCCTCGGGGCAGCTTACAAATAAATAAATTAAAATACATAAATAACAATATAAAATACACGTAACTGTATAAAATACAGTTTCTGGCTGGCGTTGCCTTCCAAGACAACCGGCCTGCAGCAGCAGCGGCAAAGGCCCGCGGCAGGGACCTCGCTGCGTGGGTCATTCCACACGTGCCACGACTGCAGCAGCCTCGCGGTTTCTCGAGGGCTGCCCAGGCACACGAACATTTCGGCCATTCCGGGTATTTACAAGAGCTACCTTTTGCAAGAACTGTGCTTCCTGCCCTTTTTAATCTGGGTATGAAGCATGCCTGGCGTGTCCACTGCAAATCTTTAAAATAAATGTGTCCTACAGAGCAGTAAAGATGGGAGATGGTTCCCCCCCACCACCCCCCGGGAACAAAAAAGAAGCTCCTACATGGTTTTGAATCGTGCCCACTCCGCCCCTGGACACCCCGTGAGGCAGGGCTAAGTGGGCTTCTGCAGTGCACACGCGGGGAACCGCTGGGCCAGATTCCTGTGAGAAGCCCCGCCTGGGGCTGCCTTTGGAGGCAGTTCAGAAGCTGCAGCTCGTGCAGAGTGGATCATGGTGGCCCGAAGGACTGACCCGGGTTCTGACCTCCTGCCTCACTGTGACACCGGTTCTGATTCAGTTTATAGCAGGCTCCCCCAGCCTGTTCAGCCACCCACTTGGGCTGCTGAGATGATGGGAGCTGTAGTCCAGCATTCCTGGAGAATGGCGGGCGAGCTTTGTTCTCAAGAAGCTTCCGGGAACAATTGGTTCGGGGCGGGGAGTATGTGAAGCACTGCTGGCTACCCAAAAAGCCCTGTTTGCTTTAAGAGAATGCATTTTGAATTGTTTGCTGTTTTTCCATGGTGGAAGCGACCCTGCGGCCTCTCTAGGCACATGTGATAGGGCATACGTCTTAAAAATAAAAAAAGGAAGCCACAAGGGCAGGGCAGTTAGTGTGTCATGCCAGAGCTCTCTTGCCGTGGGTTTCTTGCTGTGCTTCGGCCTTCCACAGCGGTTTCCTCAGCCTGACCCAGCCCTGGTGCCTTCCAGAAGGGCTGCTCTGCAGCTCCCAGCAGAACCCTGCTGGCCAGACCCCTGGGGGGTGCCAGGTTGGAGAAGGCTCTGTTACTGCTTCCGCCCTTCTCTTCTTCCTCCTCCTCCTATGCCCCCCTGCCCCCCAAAACAGCCAGCCAAGCAAAAAAACCAGCAGACTGCCCCATAGCCTGAGGGCTGTGGCAGAACCCCTGCTTGCCACGCAGAAGATCCCCAGGTTCTCCTGGAAAACATCGCTGCCCAAATGGCTCTAGAGCCGGGGCTGCCAGCCTTCAATGACCACGTGGAGCCATGTTCTGGCTCGGGATGAGGCCTTTTCACATGTCACCCGGCTCCGATTGCGGTGCTGCTACGTTTCCTGTGAGAACGCTCATCTTGCAGGGGCTGGTAGACCCGATGCTTGCAGGATCTACTCTTCTTTGCCTTTCAGACTAGACCCAGCAAGTCCACCACTGCCGTCTGGACACACAATAGACCCACACGCAAAATGACAGCACCGTGTAGATGTCAGCCTTTCCCAACTGGTGCCTTCCAAGTTGTGTTGGACACAATTTGCAGAAGTGCCTCAGCCAACAGGATGGAAGCTTCACATCCGGAGGGGCCTGGGTTGGGGAGGGCAGACTGGAGTAATCTGGTGGTATCAAGCACCACCCAACCATCAGGGCGGAGAGGTGAGGGGGCTCTTTGAAGCGCTCTAGTGCATCGGAGGAAGACCCCAGGACCAGCCTGTTGTCAAGCTGTCCCTCCCGAACGACATGACTCCTCTCAGTATTTCTCTGAACGGCACCTCTTTCTGTTTTCCAGGAGCTTCAGCATGAGAACATTGTCGCTCTCTACGATGTCCAGGTGAGCTGCTCTTCCTGTGTTTTCTTTGCAGCTGTCTCAGAATTTTACAGACGAAACTGTGGACGCAGCAGCTTCTGTGGGATATGGGTGTGTGTAGCTCCCTCAGCAGATGCTGCAGAGACCCGTGACGTCTTTTCCGAGCTCAGCAGGTTTATTGTGGCCTCTGCTGGGTGCGCGCGCATGCGTTTCATGAACCGACTGTGGCATGAAAGAAAAAGTTCCACCCGTCACAGGAAATCCCTGAGATGTGTTTATGCCGAGTGGCAGAAAGTAAGGGGCTGAATACTGGTCTGTGCACGAGCGTTTTAGAAAGAGCACGGTCCATCATTCTTGCCCTCTCTGGTGTCCTGCTAGATCCTTTGGACTCAGGATAATGGGAGTCGGCACCCAAAACATCTGGAGGAGCAGCAGGTCAGGAACAACTGCCCTCCTGGATCCCTGCAGAGGGGTTCAGGCCTAGAACTGAGAATTCCCCCTCCCACCCCCACACTGCTGGCATTAAAGCAAGACGCAAGACAGAGATTTTAGCTGTTTCTCAGTTTGTGCCCCTGCCGCCTCAGAGCCTCTGCCTCTTCCCAAGGTGGAAGGGTTGCCTGCCCCAAGTGCTTAGGGCAGCACGTGTCTTCCTGCATTTTCCACCTGGAGAGATGCGCGCTGTCTCCCGAGGCTGCTGGTGGCTGGACGCTGCCATGTGCACCTTGCCGGGCCGTCATCTTTGCTTGCTTGTCGGTGCAGAAATAATGTTCGCACTCAAGGGGGGCAGTGGGGAGAATGTCGGGGGGTGGCATTATGCCGCTCGCTCTCCCCGCCTCCCTGCACAGCAGGAACACGGGAAAGTCGTCCTTTGCCGAGTCGGCCCTACGATCCCCCCAGCTCAGTGTTGTCAGCACGGACTGGCAGCAACAGCTCTCCGGGGTTTCAGGCAAGCCTTTTTCCAGGCCAGCTCGGTCATGCCAGGAAGCAAACCTGGGGCCTTCTGCATCGCCGATAACTGTGCGGCGGAGCTCCGGATCCTGCCATGCCGGCTTTGGCCTGAAGTGGGACGGATGTGTGTCATTCCCTTTCCTTTGTGGCTCCAGACCTGCGGGACACAAAAATACCCCCGCAAGGAAGCAGGACGAGGCGCGTGGCTGCCAGGATAGGGCCAGATGTGAGGGAGAGGGTTGAACCTCCTGCCAGGCCTTGTTGGAGCCGATGCTGGTGCGACGGCAGCGTCTCCCCCTGCACGGGGGAGGGGAGGGGTCCTCAGGGGTTGTTCTGCTCCAAGAGGGCAATTTTGCCATTGTTTTTACTGTTACTTGTCAGGGGCTTCAGGTGGATTTATATCCTCAAAGATCAGACAGAAACAATTACAATGAAAAGGAACATCTGGCTTTTTTCTGATACGGTGTGGGCAGAGAGTGAGTTCAGCCACAGGCAGGATTTATGTACTAAGGGAGCTGCTGGCTGGAGGTGCTGGAAGTTGTAGTCCTGCATATTGGAAGATACTAGGTGGGAGAAAACTCTCTCTTTAATGTTGCGAGCTGCCTAGACTCTCAGTCCTTGGGTATAGGCAGGATATGAATAAATACACTACTATTACACTAAATACACTTCTGTACCAACATTTCTGCAAACCTGCACCTACACGAGGCGTTTCTCTCCTGCCACATTCCTAAAGGGTCAGAAAAAGGAGCCGAAATGAATTTGCCCTGCTTTTAATTCAGCTTTTCTAGACTCTTCCATACTCTCGCTTTACCAATTTGCTCAGCAAGGTTACCAGGAGCAGCTTTTTTTTTTTTTGGTCTTTAGTTGTTGGCTGGAACAATCTGTGGCTTAGGCTGCGCTGCATCATAACTTCCCAGCATGCCAGGAATTGTTTCCCAAAAACGAAATGTCACCCAAGGCAGAATAGCGAAAGATGCTGATGGCATCATTGGTTGCCAGCTGAAACAGAGCTCCCCTTTTTCCTTCTTTGCCTCTGTGGGAGGGTCACTGAGCAGCTGGGCTATTCCAGCAACACAGAGCGAGCGGCTGTGAACGAGCTTGTGATTCGAAGAGGACAGCTGTGCGAGATTCTTACCTTCCTCGGAACTTGGCTTTCGTTTCCCTGCGCACCCAAACTCTGGCCTGTAACCCATCCCAACTGGTTGGCCCCTTGGCCCTGGCTCCCCTCTTATATCCCATTTCGTTTTAAGATTTCTGCAGCGGCCGGAGGCTGTGACCTAAAACGAGGTATCCAGCAAGTAAGCCGAAGGGGGGAATCAAGGGAAACGTGCTGGCTGGCCAGGGCTGCATTGACTCACGGCCGCTTAGCACAGTCGTTTTTCCGTTCCTAACCCGCCTTGCAGGGCATTCTCTCAGGGCGGAATGTATTTTGGCTCAGACGGGCCTCCTTCCTTGGGAATGGCTCCGGCTAGGCTGGTGTTGCCTGCTCAGGGCAGCCGCGTTTCTCCAGGACCTCTGGCAGAGGGTTCTCCCCCTTTGGGTACCACCCTTGCCAAGAGCAGCCGCCCCTCCCCTTCCCGACAAGAAGGGCCTCGGGACACAGTGCCGTCGAGCGGTGGCCTCCTGGTCCCCAAGGGCCTCTTGTGTGGAGCTTAGCGTGTGTATGGGTCGCCTTGCCTGTCCCTGGTAAAGCGAGGGGGGGCAGTGGCACCGCCCCCCTGCTGCGTTTCTGATCGGGCACTCGCCTTGCTGTTCCGCACAGCCACCCCCCCCCCCCCCCGTGAGCCCCACACGGCCAGTTCTGCTTTCTCCTCCGTGGAGCAGGAAGACGAGGGCTGGCTTGTGCCAGCGGCTCGCAGCAGCCCTCTGCCGCTTTTCTTCTGTGAAGGTTACTGGGAAGCATGGCTCCCCTCTCGTTCTCCTGGGCGTCCAGCCCCTCGGTGGGGCTGGATGGCAGGCCAGGGTCTCCTCCCCCGTCTGGCCATGGGCTGGGGTGAAAGCCCGCCCGTTTGCTAAAGCTGGGCAGGTGGCAGGATTCGGCTGAGGCAGTCCGGCCCGGTGGAAGGTGCGTGGCAGGCCACTGCAGCTGGCCGACCTGTGGGGTGGCCGGCCGGCCGGCCTCCTCCGTCTGGGGTGCGAGGCTGTGCGATGTCGCCTGGCGCCGGCTTTGGTGAGGCGATAACGATGTGCGGCCCACACAGGATGGGCCGGTCTTTGCTGCTGAGCTCATCAGTGTCTCTGTTGTCGTTGTCGCCCTCCCACTGGACAATGCCCTATAGGCTGGCGGGCTCTGGATGCCCTTTGCGGCCGAGGCCGGGGGGGGGGGGGCATGTTGCATGGGAAACAGGCCAGAGCACTTCGGGAAAAGTGTGTTCTGCTCTGGTTCCACTCGTCGGGCTCGTAGCCACACCTGTTTCGATTCGGTCCACGCGACAAGGCACCGTGCGAGCGGAATCACGGTTGCCGGATTGTGCGAGCGCCGGCCACCCTCCAGTGGTGTGCGTAGGCGGCGTGGTACCGAGGTGCTCCGCTCGGCCCGGTGGCCCTCTTGAAGGCTGCTGCAAACACGCCTGGCCTGAACAGAGCCGGGCGAGGGACGCTGAGCGGAGGCAGCGAGCAGCAGGGCCGGGTTCAGTCCTGGGGGACATGGTCTGGGGGCCGGCAGGGGACATGGTCTGGGGGCCGATGGGGCCGAAGACGAGTGGGCCGAGGCCAGAATAGTTCCTTGGAAAGCTCTTCCTGTCAGCAGCTGAGCTTTAGGAGAGGTATCTCAATCTCCCAGAAAGCAGGGAAGCCATGCAAACGCTGGGAAGCAGCCAAATTGACTGGGGGCCAGGCTCCTGCAGATCCCGGGAGGGCCGACTTTTGCCCCTGGGCCCGCAGTGGGTGGGGGTTTAGCTCCTCTGGGAGGCTTGGGCCTCGGGGCAGATCCTGTGCTCAGCCTGGATCTGACTGCAGTCGAGCTGCTCTTGACAGGCCCCTTCAAATGGGCCAGTTCAGGTCTGCCCAGTCTTAGGGTCGGTTCGTACCCTGAGATCTCAGTGGGCAGAAGCGCGTGCATGCTCATCCATGCACGCTAATGTACATTGTGCCCAAGTCCCCGTCAAGTAGTGCAGCCTCCCACCACCTGGTTCCTTCCACACAGTCCTGACTGAAATGCCCATCATCCCCAGCCAGCAGGGCCTCGCATCCATCTTTTTGCAGGCCTGCAGCTTCTGCAGTAGTTCCAGAAGCTGCCTCTGCGGAGAAGAATGGAAGCAGGCCACCCTTTGACCCGTCTCTAGCCATTGGTGAGCAGAGCCAGCCTGAAAAGCGGCCGCCCCGTTAACCTTGTGGCATTCCATCCCGAAAGAAGGAAGGGCCGGGAGGCGCCTTCCCTGCGGTGCGTGGGTCTCCCAAATGGCTGCCGCGTGCTTCAGCGGTGGAGGAGGGTGAGGTGCTGCGGGGGCGTCCCCTCTGCTTCTCCATCCCTTCCCTGCTCGGCTTTTGTAGGGGCTGGCGAGAGGTCACCCTCCGTCCGTCGCGAAGCGGTGGGCTTGACGTGGGAGGGCGGGCGGAGCGCCTGTACAGGGGCACTGCCTGCTGGCCGCCTTGGTGCTCTCGCTGGCACCCCGGGTCGCTGACTGCCCCTTCCGTTGATTTAGCAGCCACGAAGGGTCCTCGCGAAGCCCCGGGCTCTCGCATTGCAGGGGACAAAAAGCCAGGGGGGTGTCTGTGGCCCGTGGAAACGTGGGCAGCCGCTTCTGCTAATCATCCGGACGCAGGGGTGTTGGAGTGTTGCTTAGCATGGACGGAGGCTGATGCGCTCATGCGTTTGGAAACAAGCCCTGGTGAATTGAGAAGCCATTAACGTCCGTGCCCGGCCTGACAGTTGAAGAGCGTCGCGGTGAAGCGCCGGCCGATAATTGCTGTAGCTTCCCATCAGGTTCCTCCGTGCGTTCTTGAGCAAGGCAGAGGCCGCGCTGAATCAAATCGCGCGAGCCCGGCCTGCATCCTCTGCGGAGCGTGCAGGCAGCTGAAGCAAGCGGGAGGGAGGTGGGGCGATGGCGGGACACTGCTGCTGCTCTGAGAGG